ATGTCTGGGGTGCTACAAGTGCCTCTTCTTATCTCCGCAGTCTCTCTGCAGCCTCGCAGGGAAATTCCTACCTCGGTGTCGCTCCTGCTGAAAACTTAGCAGAAAATAGCAGATAATGGGCACTAAGTTTGTTGTGAGGTTCTTTCTTTGCTCTAAAAGGGGTGGACTGAAGCAGAGAGGAATTTTTAAGGTTTCCCCTCTCCCCATCGAGGCAGCCCCGGCAGCACAACCCAGGATTTTGTGCCGCCGCTCCTCTTGCAGCACGTGTGTGATGCTGCTCTGCCTCCCGCCTGGCAGCCAGAGGAGCTGCTGTTTTCCATCCTCTGTTTCCCACCCTCTGCCTCCAGCCCGTCCCTCCCTGTTCCTGAGGCTGTGGGGGCTGCTCAGCAGGCTGCTGACAGCTCTCAGATGCATCCCTGGGCACTGCTCCACGTTCCACGGCAGAGCTCACACCCCAAACCTCCTGTCCCGGCCAATTTTGTGTCTCCACCTGGAGAGTCGGGTTTGGCCCCTGAGTAACTCAGTGGAACATCTGCAGTCCTGGCTGGTCCCCGTGCCAGCAGCTCACCCACTCGGAGGCTCTGGCTCCTCTCCCGGCTCCTCTCCACTCCCCAGGGCTGCGTTTCTGCAGGCAGGACCGTGGCCCAGGATGTCACGCGTCACCCGCGATCAGCTTTGAGCGTTCCTTTGATGTGCTTGGACTGGAGACGAAGCCAACCCTAAACTCTGATTGCTTTATTTGTATTTGGAAGGCTTAAGATTCTAAAAGTTCTCGACAGCTGCTTTCCAGGAGTTGCTGGCGACGAGCTGAGATCTAAAACCGATTCTCTCCCCATCCCTCCGCCCCATTTTATTTTGAACGCTTAAAATTCTAAAACTTCTGGACAGCTGCTTTCCAGGAGTCACTGGCAGAGTCCTTCCAAGATCTGTGCCGCTTTCTGCTCACTCTGAACGCTTCAGATTCGGCGGCTGAAGGCTCTTCTCCCCTTTTAAAGACCTGAGATCTCCATGAGCTCGCACGAACTTGTGTGATTATTCGGAACGAGGAGCTAATTACCTGTGTTGTCATTCCGAGCCGCTAATCACCAGCACGATTAGCGGGAGCGGTGACAGCGATGCTGTATCATCTCTCCCGGCCTCCTCCCCGGGAGCGGGGAGCGGTTTGTCTGCTTTCGAAGCGGAAAACCTGAGCGGCAGAGGTTTAATGATGCGATTAGCCTTGCAGGAAGCTGCTGACGCCGGCCCTGGGCCTGTGCCACCAAAGCCAAGACCAGGACATGCTCCATCCCAGCTCTCTGCTGTCACGTAGGGAGGTTAATCAGAGACTCAGGGGATGAAGATTGGCGTTTGTTTATTTTTTTCCCCCTCCCTTTTTGGTTGCCGGGACAATATTTTTAATTTAAGACCAGTGTGGATAAAGGACTTGAAAGAATTTCGTTAGTTCATGATGTTGAACGCTGACCTCGGTGGTTACTCATGAGCTGACTGTGCCTCTCCTGTGGCTTGGGGGGCTCTTGAGTTGCCCTGAAGTGGCTCTTTCAGTGCATATTTACACTGAGATTTATTTTACTCCTCCACCCACCACAGTGATAAGCAACAGCCATCCATTTTCCTGGTGACTTTAAGCACCGACCACTCTCGAGAAGACAAATGTGACATGCTGAGCTCCACTGGCTGGCGTGTGCTTTCCAGGATGGATGTCCTTCCTTTGGATCCTGGCTGCTCCTGCTGTTACTGTCACTGAAGAGCTGAAAGGCAGCCCAGTCACCCCCCAGGACCTCGTGTCGCTGTGCTGTGCAGGAGCACTGACCTTTCAGCTCTCCATGCCCAGCTGGCCACACTGGAAGATGAACATTTGGAGGGCTTTGGGGGCTTTTTGGGTGATGAGAGCCGGGGGTGAACCATAAAATCATGGAATAGTTTGGGTTGGGAGGGACCTTAAAGCTCATCTCGTTCCACCCCCTGCCATGGGCAGGGACACCTTCCACCAGCCCAGGTTGCTCCAACCTGGCCTTGGACACTTCCAGGGATGGGGCAGCCACAGCTTCTCTGGACAACCTGTGCCAGGGCCTGCCCACCCTCACAATAAACACATTCCAGAGTTGGCCAAAGGATGGAAGACCAGCTATGAAGAAATTCCTGCATATTTCTGCTCAGGTTTCCTTTCTGGTGATTTGGGAGATTTTTACAAGTCCGTGACATAAATTGGAATTATGCTGAATAGAAGAGGGAACGTATTTACTGCTCCCAAACATTCCCAGGGGACTTTCTGTGTTTTCATTTACAGCTGGCAGAAAAACTTCAGTTGAAATATTTTTAGATTAAATATGGCATTTTGATATAATTCCCCTCCCCTCCCCTTTCTTTGAATGTGTTCTGGAATTTTGTTGAAGAGCTCTCAAATGGAAAATCTGGGAGTTTTCCAGTGGCAGCAAAGAGGGAATATTTCAGCTCCTGAATGGTGATCAATGGAAGAGACACACATTTTTATGAACACATTTCATATAGAAAACAGTTTTTTAACAAGTTCCAACTTCATCAAACTTCTCTATCATCTCCTGAAGACAGGAGAAAGAAGTGATGTCTTCTTTTGCCAGGAAGACCCTACAGAGACTGTTTACAAGTGAGTCACTCCAGGGAGTGACAGAACAAGGGGGAATGGCTTCCCACTGCCAGAGAGCAGGTTAGATGGGATATTAGGAAGAGATTCCTCCCTGTGAGGGGTGCACAGGTTGCCCAGAGAAGCTGTGGCTGCCCCTGGATCCCTGCAAGTGTCCAAGGCCAGGTTGGATGGGGCTTGGAGCAACCTGGGCTAGTGGAAGGTGTCCCTGCCCATGGCAGGGGGTGGAATGAGATGATCCTTAAGGTCCCTCCCAACCCAAGCAATTCTGTGATTCTGTGCATGCCAAACCTGCCAGTTCCAGGGAGCAGGAGGGTGCAGTTTTTCCCCACTGGTGACTTGTGAGACACGTGTGTGGCTGTACAGAAACTGCTGAAGGTTTGCAGCTTCTCCCAGTTTCTCCCTCACCTTCCCACACATTTAAAGTACAGGCCATTCACTTACGAGCTGGACTCAGCAATCCTTGTGGGTCACTTCCAACTCAGGATATTCTGTGACTCTGAAATATAAAGCTGTGATTAAAGGGACGAGCTCTGGGTAGTTTTGCTTTCCTTAGGCAGGATTGGAGCTGGCAGAGGATGAAAAGCTTTGCAAGGAGAGCTCTTCCTTCCCTGCTCCTGAGGGGTGAGGGAGCAGTGCCATGGCTCATCTGCTGTCCTTCCTGCCCACGGGGGTCCTCCAGGAAACTTCCTACCAGGTGTTGCCTCCTCCTCTGGGAAGTTTGTGGTGATGTGAGCCTGTAACACATTAAACGTGGCCCCTCCTCGCCTGGAGATTTAAATGCGTGTTGTCACCTTGTGCTGTCTGATCTCCTTCCTGCTGCTCCAGGGAGCAATCAAAACTCAGAGAAGGTCCATGGCCCCAAACAGCAGGCACTGAACCAGAAATGAGACCATCAGAAAGGGAGATGGAGAAGAGTGACCAGGCTGACACATGCAGGACTTGCAGGGATGTGCTGAATGCCAAGGAGGAGCCATCGGTTCAGAGCCATGTTTTCACTTTCCCTGTTCCAAGGATGGGGTCATGGGCTGTCCTGTCAGGTGGGGGACAGGAAAGGGGAGTCAGGAGACCGGGATGTGCTGCCAACATCAAGCTAAGGGCTCGGCTGATGGCAGCTCTCCCGTCGGTGGCTGTGCCGTGTGGTCGGTGCTGAGCCAAGTTCTCCTCACAGTCCCTTCCCACGGGTCAGTCCTGCCAAAGGAAGCAAAAGTGTCACCTCTGGAGGACAAAGTGTAGACTGGGAATGTACAGCTGTGTCTGGCACTTGGATCTCCTTCTACCCCGATTCCTTTCTCCCATCTCCTACTCCTCGCTGGCTTTCGAGAACATTATTGTGTTGATTACACGAGATTTTAGTCAAAATCCCTGGTTAACTACAGGTTTGCAACAATTAACAGTTAACTGAAGACATCAAGGACTCAGTAGAGTTAAGATGTCCAATGAGTGAAGTTCTGGAGTGCCTGAGGGAGAGAATTGTGATCCCACTTTAACCACAGAGATGAAGCCTCTGTGAGAGTCACTCCAGTGTGTGCCCAAAGTGAGGGGCTGCAGAGGCTGGCTCAGAGCTCTGTAAGTGGCAGATGGGCATGTACATCTTCACTTGGGGCATCAGAAACTTCCCAGAGGTGACAGGAATTAGCTCAGGGAAAGCCCCAGAGTGGGTTGTTTTGGCTGGTGGCTGTGCTTTTGTCTCAGCATCATTTCAAACTGGGCAGCAGGATGTACTTGGACGTGATTATTGCAATGGTTGGATGAACCTTCCTTTCTGAATTCCCTGTACAGCCCTGTCCTAATAATTTGATACCACATACTTGCTTTCCATGTGATTTCAGCAAATAGCAGGATCATTTTTACCTTCAGCATAGAGAATCTGAGCTATTTCACCTCAGCCCCAGAGTACTTGCAGCTCCCATTTGACTCCTGTTCGTCACAGTTATCTTAAACCTGGGAAAAATGAAAGGCTATCATGGAAGAGGAGATCTCTTCAGAAGAGTGCTGATATCTCTGTGACTTAATCTAGTGCTTCTAGGGGAAATTCTACTGTGGAGAGGGATGGATTTTAGTGCTGAGGATAATAATTGGTATTGCACGACTGGCTGTGCACCAGGATCTCGTTGCAATGGCTGTGGTGTGGCCACAGGGCACAAGAAATGCGTGCACAGGACAGTTTGCAGGTTCTTTCAGGATGAGAGAGGCAGAGAAACAATCTTGATTGAGCTACAATCAAGTAGCTCTTTGTCCGACGACGCCCACTGTGGTTTCCACTCACTGTTGTCGACTTCACCAGCTTCACGAGCACAATCCGAGAGGCTGAAGGAGGGCTGTGTGTTTCCCATGGCCACTGGTGACAGGTGGTTTCCTCTCTCTTGCCTCTCCACAGTGAATTTGCCAAAGAACGCGAGCGGGTGGAGAACCGCCGGGCTTTCCTCAAGCTCCGCCGGCAGCAGCAAATCGAGCGGGAGCTCAACGGGTACCTGGAGTGGATCTTCAAAGCAGGTAAGGCCAGAGATCTCCTCACCTTGGTCTTGTGGCCAGTAGAGTCTGGTGGTGAGAGAATGAGAGAGGGTGAGGCCCCAGAACCAGTCCTGGGTGTGGTTGGCCATGAAGGGAACACAAGGCTGGAGAGGGCCCGGCCAGCACTTGATTTTATGGGGGGGATCCTTTCTTAGCACTCCCACAGAAGTTATTGCAGGAGATCTCAGTTTGGTTAAGCAAAAACCAAAGGAGCTGAGCCAACTTGCCTTATTGCTGAGATCAAAGCAATTGTCTTAATACAGCATAATATAAAAAGTGATACAGTGCCCAAAGTCTCCACGGTGGGGAAACTGCTCCTTCCTATGAGTCATTTCTATTCTATTTACTTTCCAGCACAGCTGTTTTACAAGCCTTTCTTGCTGGGATGGTAAAATACACCCCAGTGTCATTTTTATGAGCTATAGACATCACTTGCATGAAACTCCCCCCAGCACATATTAACACTGCTTTATAACCATTATATCTGAACACTGCACTTTACTGCAAGCCCTGAGCAACTTGAGCAAGGACCCAGACACACCCATTTAACAGAAAATAGCCTGCTTTGCTTTTCCTTTCTATCAGACAGCAATGATTACCAATAATCTTTCTGTATTGCATAGTAGCTCATATTGATCCTACAGTCCTCATATAAACACTGTGAAATTCTTTCATGCAGCATCAAGGAAACTGGGGGGTGATTTCCTCCTTGCTTGCTTTGCTGAGAAGCTGAAGCACCTGAGTAAGGTGAAAACCCATTTTGAAACAACGCTGGAGAGAAAAAAGAAGGGGTGGTTTCTCAAACAAGCTGGGAGGTGCCTTTGTAGGCAGGTCAGCTCCTTCCTTGCCCGTTACAAATGGGGGGGCTGAGGGCCAGATTTATGCAGTGACTCACCTGATATCAGCTGATAGACCTGGCAGAGCTCAGAAGACATGGGCTGGCACCGTGTTCAAACCATGCCATCACTCCTGGTGATGCCATCGCTCGTCCTGCTGATGCCAGAGCCCTGCTGTGCTAAAATGTGCTCGTGCAAGCGAGTGGCTGTGTGGTCACAGCAACTCACTGCAGCATCAGCTGCATAAGCCAGGTACAGACCAGAGCCTCCTGGGGCTATTCTGATGTAGGTGGCCCTTGTCTGCAGTTACAGCTTCTGTTCTATGTGCACAGCCTGGGTGACAGTGTTTGGGAGAGCATTTTTGTGTGGCTTCTGATGCTTTGCCTCTTTCTCCTCTGAAGGGCTCATTGTCCCCAGGGAATGCCCTTCTGTGAGTCCTGGTACCTTCCTGAGGGCAGTGATCACAGAATCACTGAGAATCTGCTGAGCTGGAAGGGATCCACAAGGACCATCCAGTCCAACTCCTACCCCTGCACAGGCCCATCCCCAAGGGTCACCCCCTGTGCCCCAGAGGATCATCCAAACCCTCCTGGAGCTCTGGCAGCCTTGGGGCTGTGCCCACTGCCCTGGGGAGCCTGTTCAGTGCCAACCACCCTCTGGGGGAAGAACCTTTCCCTGAGATCCACCCTGAGCCTGCCCTGACACAGCTCCAGCCATTCCCTGGGGGCTGTCCCTGGTCCCCCCAGAGCAGAGCTCAGTCCTGCCCCTCCTCTGCCCCTGCCCAGGCAGTTGGAACTGCAGGGAGCTCTCCCCTCAGTCTCCTCTGCTCCAGCTGAACACACCAAGTGCCCTCAGTGTCCTCACAGGGCTCCAAATCAAGGCCCTTCCCCATCATTGTTCCCTCCTTTGGACACTCTCCAATGGTTCAATACCTTCCTCATTTTGTATATTCACCCCAAACTGCCCCAATCTTGCAGGTGAGGCCGCCCCAGGTCAGAGCAGAGTGGGACAATTCCTTCCCTGATGCCCCCAGGACAGGGTTGGCCCCCCTGGCTGCCAGGGCACTGCTGACTCAGGGCCAACTGGCACCCACCAGCACCCCCAGGGCCCTTTCCTGGCTCTGCTTTCCAGCCTCTCCTTCCCCACTCTGTCTGTACATCCAGGGTTGCCCCATCCCAGGGGCAGAATCCGGGAGTTCCCTCGTTGAACTCCCTCTGGTTGATGATTCCCAGCCCTCTGGTTTGCTGAGGTCTCTCTGCAGATCCGGGCAGGAGCTCTGACAACCCGGCCAGAGGGGGAGGCTGACGCTTTCAAATGTAAAAGAGGAAGAAGTTGCAGCTGTTTATGTGGTGGCTCAAACCCATTATTTCCCGAACAAAGTGACAATTGAGTGCCAGTTTTATTGTCGGGCTTCTATTCCCTGGGACTGTTCAACAGAAACTGCCCTCAGTCAGGCAGCCACCCCTCATTCTGTGATTCTGGAGGGATCAGAAAAAGAATCACCTTCCTTTCCATTTATAATTTGTCTCCTCATTGTTTTCAGCCACCTCAAATTCAAATGAATGAGTGGTTTGTCCAGTGGAGCAGAGTGCACTGCGGTTCTTGGTTTAGTGCCATCTTACTTAGAGGCTCCTGTGATTTTTGGTCTCTGAATCCTGGTTTCCCATCTGTAAAATAATGAGGACAATTCCCTTACAGGGACGAAGCTTTCATTTTGGTGCCTGTTTTGCCAAGAAGAGCCATGCAGGAATCATCATGCAGATGTCATCAGCTGAACTTGAGTTAAAGTTGAGTTGGAAGAGCTATAAAATGTACAATCAATCTCTGCTCCAGCTTTGCATCCCTGTGGGAATGGCTGGCTCTTCTATTTCTGAGTTGCCAGGGCTGAATTAATGCCACACCAACACAGAGTAAAACTGCTGTAAAATGCACATCTTTTGATTTAGTTTAATAACACGAGATCCAGAAGGTTTTGTAGAACAGGGAAGTGTGTGCAAAAGAGCTGAATCAGGGAATAATAAAAATACTCTGTAAAGGCATTGTTGAAAACACAATAGGAATATAAAAAAGCCTCCTAGTACAGCTGAATAATAACAGTAATTAAAATCAGCTTAGCAGTGTTAATAAAATCTTTGAATACAAAATGCAGCGTGGAGGCAAAGCAGAGCAGAGAGTGGAGTGTTTAGAATTCAGGCTCTGAAATTTGGGACTGTGCAGTCGACAGGGATTTCCCATCTCTGTTCTGAAGGCCAGGATTTCAGCTGGGAAATGATCTGGAATTTTCAAACTGGATCACTGCTCTTCCTTGTGAGGGGCTGTGGGGGAGGAAGAAGGACAGGCACAGACAGTCCAGCCTGGGTAGAAATCTCCTGGCCCAACCCCAGGCGGGGAGATTCAATAAAGGAAAGAGCAAAAGTCTTGGTGTTCTGCTCTGATGGAACTCTGGAGGGTTTTCTTGTTATTCCTGTGAATATCTAATTGTTTTTAAATCCTTCACATCCTTGACCTCATTGACTCTTGTAGCAAAGAGTCTCACATGCTAACAGTTCGTTTGATTTAAAAAAATAAACCAAGCCACCAAACTGTGTCCTGTCCTCAGTTTAAATCCTTTCTGCAGTGAGAGGAAGAGCACTTTGTGGTTCTTTTAATTACTTTTCTTTCTTTAATTTCCCTCTACTTTGTGTCCTCTTATTTTCTCTGCTCCAGAGCACACAGAACCAATCTGCTCCATCCCCTCTCTTCCCATGGAAGGTTCACCAGGTTTCTAATACTTATAACAACCTTCCTGAGCATTTTGTTTGCTTGGGTTTCCTCATTTATTTTTGATGCAAGGCAGGAAGAGTGAGAAGCTGCATTCCAGTGATTGATCAAATGGCATCTCAATACTTAGATTGTTTTTGCTCTGTAATATTTGACATGTTCTGAGCAGTTGCTGGAGCTGGAAAGGTGATTTCCTTGGCCTTGGTAGTGCTCAGGTTTTTACCTCAACTGGTTTAAGACCAAGTATGTGAGTAACTAAAATCTCTCCATCTCTACACTATCTCCCGTTGGTCAACAAGGATTTTAATTTCACATCATGTTCATCATTTACTGACTACTCTGAAGTGTCTGTAATGTGTCTCACAGCCTTCTCTGTAATTTGAATTATATCATCACAGAATCACAGACTGGTTTGGGTCGGAAGCTCCACCCACCCTTGGACACTTCCAGGGATCCAGGGGCAGCCACAGCTTCTCTGGGCAACCTGTGCCAGGGCCTGCCCACCCTCACAGGGGAAAATTCATCCCAATATCTCATCTAAATCTACCCTCTTTCAGTTTAAAGACAACTGTGCCTTTCAGAGGAATTAAAAAGAGGTGAAAGCGAGCAATGTAATCCATGCAAATGATTTTGCCCCCACTTCCTCCATTAAACTCCTCAAAACTGTAACATCCATTAGGCTGTCATGCTGCATTTCCAACCAGAAGTTCTCTGCACAGAGTAAAGAGCTTATAAGCCCACAAATATTCTTTTGAAGATGTTTCTCTTATCTTCCAAGGACATGCATCATTTTGAAAACACTCTGCTCAGAAGTCTTTCAGTTCAGGGCTAATCAAGTTGTGTGCCTTTTGCATTTTAATTCTTCCCAGCTCTCTCACACAGCACTGATTCAGAGGGTTTCTGTCTCCTGGCTGTGGGAATGGTTTAACCTCTCTCTCCCAGCCCACTGTAACTTCAGTGCTGTCCCTTGCCATGACAAAACTTTAGGAATTCTCAGGTTTCTTTAGAAGAAAGAGAGCAACAAGTCCTTTGGTCCAGGTGGTCTAAGGACTGTATTATTATTATTATTATCTTTTTTCTCTTTACCAACTCTGACAGTTGCTAAGTCAGTTTTTCTTCCTTTTCTTCTAACTTCTGTTGCCTGTTGAACTGAGTTATTTGAACCCACAATGTCCTCTCTCCCCATGCCAAAGGCAAGGAGCAGGGGCACCACGTTTCCCTGCTGCTCTGCCTGTATTGTTCACCTTCCAGTTCCTCAGTGCCAGCTTTGTCTGTATTTCCAGTCCTTCCAGTATTTAATAACCAGCAGTTCCCGTCACTGCTGAGTCCCCTCTCTCTCTGATATCCTGGTTTGGAGGCTCCAGGTTGCTGATCTGATGCCATCTCCCTGTGGAATATTTATTCTAATGTAGAGTCACAGGTTTGGGAGGTTTTTTTGGGCATTCCAATTATCCTCTCCCAGGCTCTGTGTTCCAGTGATGAGTGAAGGCAAAGCAGCTTCTGATCCTCTGTGTGGTTAAACCCCTTCCTGGCAGTGCTGAGTGTCCTGCTGAGCTGGTTTTTTAGCAGGAGCCCTTCCAGGGTGGATGTGTTCCCTGGGATTCCCAGAGGATTCAAGGCACACACAGGAGTGACTGTGAAGGGAGAGAACTGGGGGGCAATGGGGGTGGAGAGTCGGGATTGAGGGAGTTTCATAGGTGGAACCTGGGCTTGTAAAGGGAACAGTAAAACTGAGCCCAGGTGAGATGTGTCCATGGATGGAGACGTGTCTATGGATGGAGATGTGTCCATGGATGGAGATGTGTCCATGGATGGAGATGTGTCCATGGATGGAGATGTGTCCATGGATGGAGATGTGTCCATGGATGGAGATGTGTCTATGGATGGAGGTGTGTCCATGGATGGAGATGTGTCCATGGATGATGTGTCCATGGATGATGTGTCCATGGATGGAGGTGTGTTTATGGATGGAGATGTGTCTATGGATGGAGATGTGTCCATGGATGGAGATGTGTCCATGGATGGAGATGTGTCCATGGATGGAGGTGTGTTTATGGATGGAGGTGTGTCCATGGATGGAGGTGTGTCCATGGATGGAGATGTGTCCATGGATGATGTATCCATGGATGGAGATGTGTTTGGGCACCAACTCAGTGCCCTGAGCTTGGGGCAGAGGCTCAGCTGGTTTGCAGAGTTGTCTCTTAAGAACCTGTACTCTGTAGGTGAGGATCCACTGACACCAGCAGCCCTTGGGAAGGGGTGTCCATGTCCATGTCCATGTCCAAACCATCCCTTCCTCATGTTTTAGGACAGTCATACTCATTGGTAATTGCTTTTTATTTCCTTCCAATATTTTTAGCCCCAAACATCAGCACAGCTTTTCCCTGGGCAAGACTTTTGAAGAGATGCTGGTTTGACAGAGAAGTCCCTTGAACTGTCTAAAAGAGCCTGTTTTACTTTTCTGACCTGTCCTAAGAAGCCTCAAAAAACACCTGACATGTATTGTGGGGTTTTTGGAAGGATTTTATACCTTTTAAAATGTACTTTTAACTCACCTGACGTTTTTAACCCTCTCCCAACTCTCCTTTCCTCCATGTCTCTCATGCACTAGTTTGCACTTTCTTATTTCTGCTTGGCTTTCCAGCCTCCCTCAGTCCTTGGATATTATTTTTCAGGCTTCTCAATTTACTCTCTTATTAATGTAGCATTCCCTCTCCCTCCCAGATGATTAATAAAGAGATTATATAAGGCTTGTGTGGCTTATATAGGCTTATATAAGGCTGATCCCTCTAGTATTCTTCTAGACAGCTCTCAGCTCCACACTTTGATGTTTGGCCTGTGCTTTGTTTGTATTTATTCTCCGTGTTTTTTTAGTCACCCTTCAATCTGGACCTGCTTAAATGGACTTTTAAGCAAAATTTGGTGGGAACATGGAGTCAGATGTTTTAGTCACATTATATCTGTGCCAAGCACGTGGAAGATTCTGTCATTTATAACAACAGAAGGAAGTGTACAGTTCACCAGCTTCCAACTCAGTATTTTGTTTGCTTTGGATTGCCCTTCAGAAAATCCTCACCTAGTTTTTCCAGCAGCAGGTTGAAATCTGGGGTTCTGAGCGTGTTCTCCAGTCCTGGCACAGCGTGGTGTGTTCTGCAGACTGACCTGGGTGATGACATTTGCACCGTGAAACCTCAGGAAACTCGGTTGTCTTTCACTCAGATAAAAATGATTCGGTTTTGGGAGGTTGTTTTTTTACAGTAGGCTTATGATTTTATTTTGGTTTTGTTGTTGTTGTTTTTTTTACTTTAGGGAAGTACAAAGTTGTGTTTTGGAGATTACATGTGAATAGAATAGAGGGTGGTGTTCCTGCATTGCACAGCCTGAACTGTGCTAAGCAGAGCTGCTTAGCTCTTGTGGGTTTTAAGTGGACAAAGATTTGATGTGGTGGCTTTCTGGTGGCACTGTGTCTCCTGAGCTGTGGCACTGCTGACGTGCAGCAGCTGGCCCTGCTTGTCTTACCCTGTGCCACAAGACAGATCTGTCACCCTTGGGCTGAGCTCTGGTCTTGTTGATGGAGACAGAAGAGCAGTAACGGGTGTGGAGCATCTCTCACTTCTCAAACAGTGTCTCCCACGTGCCCTGGGAATGAGGGACCATCCTGTGGCTTGCTTGGGTCTGAAGGAAGGTTCTTGGTGTCCAGAAGTCCCTTGGGGATGATAGCTGGGTAAAGAAACTGGAGTGGGTGGGTGGCTGTGAAGAGGGATATCGTGCAGGAAGAGCTGCATCTCCCAGCGGTTTGTCTGACATCCTTCCCCTGAGCGAGAGGGGCACAGGAGGAGAAACACGGTGTTCTGAGCCATCCTCCCCTCCCCAGGCTTGGTGTAACTGGGTGATACGACGGGGCAAGGTGGGTGGCAGCTGCTTTTAGAGCAGGGTTATGGTAAATCCGAGCCTGAGCCTTGCTGTTTTTCCTCTTCCAGAGGAGGTCATGCTGGCGGAGGAAGACAAGAACGCAGAAGAGAAATCTCCTCTGGACGGTAGGTCCCTTTGCTGTGCCGTTTTCCTCCTGTGATACGTGAGAGGTTCAGCTGCTGGACAGTGCCACGGCCTTCCACTGTGCCCAGGAGGGTGTGAGGAACACACTCCTGCATGCCCTTGGCAGAGATTGGGCTGCAGAGTCCCTTGGCCCGTATCGGGTGCGTTCGAGGTTGCAGGTGGATGATGAGCAGTTATGTGACACCGCCCTGGGGTGGGGATCTGCCCTTGGGGTCGGTCCCTACGCTGCCTGTGGGACCACAGGGACACCTGTCAGCCTGTCCCAGCGGGGCTGGCTGTGTCCCACCCCCAGGCCGTGGCGGGGATTAGGCTGCAGAGCGGATGCCAGAGGAGGAACGCGCTGACCAGGAGAAGGCAGGGCTCCAAACCGAGGTTTTCCAAACGGCTTTGACAAAGAGACTAAGACCCCTGTTAGCTGTAAGCAGTAAGACATAACAGGGTGTGGTGATCCTACCTTCCAACGTGTGACCCAGGCTGGAGGGACCGAGCTGAGCGAGGCCACAGGACCTGCCCTCCCTGTGCCTCCAAGAGCGATGAGCTCGTAGGACGCGCCAGCCAGTCAAAGTTCAGTTAAAGATTCTTCCCTCTCCCTTTTCTGACCATCTTTCGTCCTCCCATGTCTCCTCCTCCTCCTTTCCCCTCCCCCCTTCCCTTTTCCCCCCCTCTTTTTTTTTCTCCTCCCATTCACTGTCAGGGAGGGCCGCCTCGGAAGGGCCGATCCACCAAGGCACGGCACCGGCAGAGACTAGCAGCGGCAGCAGCTACAACAGTGAGTGGATTGCAAATCACCAGGGGCTCAGGCGGCACAGCGGGGCAGCCTCACCCCACAGCCCCCCGTGCCCAGGTCACCGGTGGCGTCTCCCGGGTGGTTTTGCACCCTTTGGCTCCGGCTCCTTTCGGGGCGGCAGGTGCCCGGCTGCTGGTCCGCCTTGGCCAGCCTGGTGACCTGCACCTGGGGAGCACTCGGGGATGGAAAGAGCTGGGGCTGCAGGAGGTCAGGGTTCGAGGTGTGCCTGGCCAGTCTTCGTGTGTGTGTGTGCGTCGTGTGCACTGGGGGAGTCCGTCCAGCACGTGGGTGCAGCTCTTAGCCCTGAGTGCCTGGAGGAGCAGCCTGGAAAGCTGAGTGGTGGAAGCAAACTAGAGGTGGGGACAAGGCAAGAACCAGGGATATTAAAGCTCCTTCTATCCTTCCAACCCTAAAAGAGCCCGACAACATTCCCAGCTTTGAAGCAACTGCTGGAGAAGCCCATATGTATGCTGGTAAATCCTCTTAGCCTCCAAAACTGTTGCATCCAGGGTGCCTGTAGAGATGGCACACTGCTAAACACAAGTAGGAGTTATCTGGGGGAGAAGATAAAGAAGCTGTTCAATTCATGCCAGGGAGTGTTGTAAAATTTTACTCCCAGTGCAGGTTACGTTCCAGTGCTGGGCGTTGCCCTGGACATGCTGGAGTGTGCTGGGACAGATGGAGCCTGCAGGACCCAAAAGCTGGTATTGCTGGGACTGAGGATTCAGCCTAGAGCTGGGTGGGGAAGAAAGGAGCAGAAGTGCTTATTTGCCAAAAAAACCCCTCTGGATCCAGATCACAGGCTCAGAGCATCCTCTTCTCCTCAAGCCTCTCCAAACCCGGGTGATGCTCTGGGTGTTTGGAAGCGACCAAAGAACCAACACTTGCCTAGGCCGTGGAGGAAGCAGCACATCCACTTCTCTGTCAGGGAAATCTGTGTGTAGAGCGAGGGGATCTTCTCTAGGAGACTCCAGTGGCTCAGAGTGTGTGGGTTTGCTGTGTGTGCCTTCTGACCAGTCTGTATCACCACACCGTGGGGTGTCTTACTGCTGCTAGAAAACGGTGCTTAGTTACTGTATGTCTTGAACCTGTTACCAAACTGTATCAACGTTATCTTTTTCTGCCAGTTCTCGAGGTTCTGCAGGTAGGTGGTCATGGGACCGGCGTCCTCACTGTTCCTGCCTCACCCCTCGTGCACTGGGTGGACAGTGCAGAGCTCTCTGAGCCTTTGAGGCCACCGGCCTCTTTCCCTGTCGGAATAAAACGCTGTAGGGATGTTTGCCCTCCCCACAGAAGATGCTGCTGGAAGAAATGTGTTTTCAAAGAATTACAGCAGCCCCAGAGGGAAGGGATTGTACACTGGGTGCTATTAAGAAGAGGCTGCTCCCTGATTTGTGGCCGTTGCTTTGCACTGAGCATTTCTGCTCCTCCAGGCGCTGCTCGGTGCTTAAACCCGGCCCCGTAAATGCTGACTCCTTAATGGTGCCCACTGTAAACAGCATTAATGGCTTTAATGGATGGAAGCACTCATCTCCTAACCCACTGGGGCTCACAAAGATCCAGTGACCCAGCCCAGCCTTTCTGCTGTGCTAAAAGCTCCAGCAGCTGCAGTGACTCCCCCACCCTCCTGCATCTGCTGGGGGAAGCGTGAGCACTCAGCCCATTCCTGGCAAACCTTCAAAGTCTGGAAGGTCAAACAGCTGAAGGGCCCTGACACTGAAGCCCTGCAAGGTTGTAGGTTGTCCGATTCGCTCGGGCTTGCCCTTGTGTGAGAGCTCTAAGCTGGCATTGGGAAGGAAATGCTGGCCCTGGAGAGTGAAGGGAGGGGGAGAGAGAATCCACTCTGCATCCTCACAGGGCATTTTCTCTTTAATTTGCACACAGTGTTGAAAAGAGCCGCAATAAAGAAGAGCAAAAACGACCTGATTCATGCAGAAGAAGGTGAGGACCATTTCACAGACATTTGCTCCGTTGGTGAGTACTGGCTTCGCATTCCCTCAGGTTCAGATCTCCACCCAAACCTGTCCATGTCACGTTTCCTCTGAGGGGCTCCTTTGCTCCAGAAGCTGCAGTTTCAAGAAGGAGAACCCCCCCCTCGACTCCCCAAAGCAAAGGGCTGCGTGGCTTCACCCTCTGCCCTGCTCTGCCCGGCTCAGCTCTTGCATGCTGCACCTTTCCAAGAGCCCTGCCCGGCGCTGGGAGAATCCCTGCTGTGCTGCCCATCCCGGGATTCTGCTTGGAGCTCGCTTGTTCATGCTAATGAACCCCAAATCTGCCAAAGGACGCTGCTGAGGCTCTTTGTTGGAGGAACTGGACACAGTCCCGTCTGCCACTGATGCACAGGGGTGGGTTTGTGACCTTTGCTGTGTGAGTTACTACTGGGAAACGCTGGGCAGTGGCCCCAGTTCCCTCATTCTCACCTTAGGAGAAGATCTTAAAGCAATTCTCTGCATTTTTCAAGCCAGATATGGAATTACACACCAGTGTGCACCCAATCACCCCCACAACTCCAGTGCATCCTGCCCTGTGGGGCATCTGGGGTCTTCAGCTCTGCAGACCAGGACATGGCCAGGCTAGGGAGGTGCTGCCTGTCCTGCAGTTCCCAGAGCTAATTTCCCCCGAGACACGGCCAGGTGGAGAGGCAGGAGGCAGGTCTGGGGCTGGCAGGGCTTGGCAGGCTCAGGGAGCTGTTTGGACACCAGCACAAACACCTCTCAGCCGTGGGCTGCTCCTCCCTGGCTGGGGACACATCTTCCTGCCTGCTCTGCACTCGGGTATTTTGCTTCTCCCCGGCCCTGTTGTTGGAGTCTGGACATGGGTTTGCTGCTGGAGCAGCAGATGTTCTCATTATCTTCCAAAGAAATATCCTGGCAGCCCAGTTACCACGAAGCAGCAAATCCTGGGTGCACAAGAGCAGCAGCAGCACAAACAGCACATTTGGGAGTGCGTGCCTGTGGAGTTCTGAAAGCACGAGCACCACAACTGCCCTTGGGGAAGTTGGCATTAAGGTTTTAAGGGATCAGAGCTGCTGCTGCTGGGATTCTTTATTTTTTTTACCCCTTTAAACCAAGACCTGGTTGCAGGAATTGAATGTTGCTCGGCATGTTCCTGACACCATCACCCACAGTCCCCCAGGCTGCAGGTTTTGTGCCTAAACTGCTGACACTTCTTCGAGGGGTTTGTCGCTGAAAGAGGGCAAAAATGCAGCAACTGTGTGCATTTTTGGCTTGGTTTGTGTTTTTTTCCCCCTGGATCCCTGCATGGATAACAAGGAACGGTCATTTTTGGCACAGTTGGTGGTGGTTGCAATAATTATGAGCTCGTTGCTTTGCCATCCAAGCCCCTCCAGGCTCTGGGCACCCGTGCCACTCAGAACAGATCTTGGGATTCAGGCATTTCAGGTGGCAACGGATGACGGAGCATCTGGGCTCGTGAATAATCTGCTGCAGAGCTGGGAACTGTCTCGGGAGCATATGGCAGGGAAAATAACAGCAGTGCTTCCCCCACTTGGGAAAAGTGGTTTTGATTTTGATTCACGGAACGAGACAGAGAAGGAGAGATGGATGAAGCAGCTCCTGAAGAGGCTGAGGCTCTGCAGAACATAAACAATCCTGTCACGTGGGCAATTATGCATAAAGAAAATGTTTTTGAGCAAAAGGGGTTTTTTGGCTGGTTTTCTGCAATGTCTTCTGGTGGCAGCAGAAGGAGGGTGGAAGAATGAACAGCATTGATCCTGAGTGCCAGGGGAAGGTGCAGACCAGGGGTGAGAGGCCTTGACAGGGCTCTCTCAGCCCCCTGGCTGAACATGCTGCACTTTAATTCCAACACAAGGACCTCAATGAGCCTCATAATTGCATTATAAAGCTCTGTAGTGCTAAACACTTCCCAGTGTGTTCTCTGGAGCTGTTCTTAGCATTTGCTCTTTTCTTTCCTCCCAACTCTCAGCCTCTCATTCCACACTAATAAGTGTGCAGCTGCTCTCTCTGCCTTCCCACCTTCCACGCTGTCCCAGACACAGGACACTTGTCTTGATTCCCAGACAGCAAAGCCCAGAGAAGTGGATATTTTCTATGTTAGATCAGCTTAAATACAAACTGGTTTTCTTCTCTGAAAGATCAGTTAGAGGAGATGGGACTATTCCCTTGCAAATCTGGGAGTACAGAGTGGCTTGAAAATCTGAGAGCTCTTCACCTGCTGAACAGTGCAGCCTAAATCCCAAACTGTAGCTCTTTTTGTCGTCTTAAAGCAATGGAGGAGCACTGTGATTTATTTTTTAAACTGCCAAAGGCAAGATTAGCAAACAGAACAGCACACCAAGCTTTTCTGCAAGGAGCTTTTGTGTTGGTGGATGGCCAGAAACGGGACATGGAGTGGAGAGCTCGTGTTCCACTGGGGAGACATCCCACTCCTGTGGAGCTGTGGGGCTTGGAGAACCCACTGCTGTCACATCTGGATGCTTCATCCTTTCCATGAGTGTTGTGTTTGATGCTGTTGCAGCACGAAACAGGGTGAGATTCCCACCCCTTCCAAGTGCTGGAATGTAGGTGCTCACACCCAAAGATTTGGCTGCTGCAGCCAGAACACTTTGTTCCTGTAACTCAGCCATCTCCATGTCAATCATCTGCCCTCACACTGCCTGGTCCAAGGCAGGACCATGTGTGTCCTGCTCAGCCCTACCTGCTGGGATGCTCCATCCCAAGATGGGGAAGGGCAGTAGTGTATTATCCTGCCACAAATCATCTTGAAACAAGGTCCTGAGGGCCAGCACAGCGTGACACAAGTAGTGGACAGCAACAATCATGATTTTCCCTGCTTGCAACAGCATCTGTGGCTGCTGCAGAGGAACCCCAATGGCTCCATGTGTTTATTCCTAACCTGTGCTGATCTGTCCTGCCTCAGCACTGGCCAGAGGTTGCCTTTTCATCCTTCATTAGACCAGCAGAAAGAGTTTCTTCCCTCAGCTTCCTATTGTTCAAACATTTGACTCCTTTCCAGGGTTTCAGACCGGAGTGGAAGTGCATCTGATTTAGGCAGAATTGGTACAAATGAGTAGCTGCACCCAAAATCTGATGCAGGGAGGCAGATCGAGGCCCCTGCTCAGGAAATACAAGGAGTGGGAGAGTGAAATAAGGAGACTTCATTCCATTCAGCAGAAAGGGCTGGTCCTTGGAGCAGGGGAAATAGGGACCAGCTCTCCTTCTGCCATCTCCCAGCCCCACGAGGATGTGCTCCACCCCATGGGCAGAACCACCACTGTGCCCTGGTGCTTCCCCTGTCCTTCCAGCCCAAGTGATGAGTTTGACTGGGACAACCAGGATTGCTCCAAAGGTTTGGAAGCCCAGTTTCTTTAGGTGGAGGAGCTGGGCATTGATTCATTGACTCATGAAGCTTTAAAACCCCAACCTTCATATCCCTCATGGCGCCATCACAAGCCAGATGCCCTCGCTCAGCCCGTGGCCAGCGCGCCCAGCTTTCTGCTCAGCCGTGTTCCTGGCGCTTGGCAGAGGCTCTGCGTGCCCAGGAGATGCCCTCCAGCCTTTTGCCTGCCAGGGTGGGGTGTGGTGACTCCTCTCTCTGTCCCAGGGTCTCCTTTTGCCCGCGCCAGCTTGAAGAGTGGGAAGAACGAGAGCTCGTCCTACTTCAGGAGGAAAGAGAAGATGTTCCGGTTCTTCATCCGCCGCATGGTGAAGGCTCAGAGCTTCTACTGGATTGTCCTGTGTGTGGTGGCCCTCAACACCCTCTGTGTGGCCATGGTGCACTATGACCAGCCGGAGAAGCTCACCACTGCTCTCTGTGAGTACTGGAAACTCCACCTTTCCCCCGAGGGAAATCCACGTTGTTGGTCACTCAGCGCTGCTTTCGCACCCCCTGGGTGTGAGCTCTGGGGGTTCAGCTTCCCACGTGTCACCTCAGCACAGGCTCAGAAACGCTTTAGTCAGTAATTCATAAGTCACAGAATCATGGAATGGTTTGGGTTGGGAGGGAACTTAAAGCTCATCTCATTCCAACCCATGGGCAGGGACACCTTCCACCAGCCCAGGTTGCTCCAAGCCCCGTCCAACCTGGTCTTGGACACTTCCAGGGATGGGGCAGCCACAGCTTTTCTGGGAAACCTGTGCCAGGGCCTCCCCACGCTCATAGGGAAGAATTCATTCCCAATATCTCATCTAACCTTGCCCTCTGTCAGTTTGAAGCCATTCCCTGTGTCCTGTCCCTCCAGGACCTTGTAAATTGTCTCTCTCCAGGTTTCTTTAGGCTTCCTTCAGGTCCTGGAAAGCCACAAATAGGTCACCCCAAATCTTCTCTTCTCCAGCCTGAACAATCCCAGTTCTCTTTCAAATCGCATTTCCAGTCATTCAGTCACACAATTCAGAAGAATTCCCCCAGGACAGGGTGTTGGTTTGAGATGGGAATGATATCCCAAAGGTTATTTCAAACTTCCAGTTCAACCAGATATAAATCCTGCAGGAAGAAGGATTTGTTCTGGATCAGACAGAAAGCAGGGGGAGTGATGCTCTGCCTGGGGAAAGGCAGGTTGCTCTGCCCAACCTGTGTCTGCCCAGAGAACTGCAAATCGGTGCCACTTCCATCTGCACCCAGGGGTGGCTCCTGCTGGGGACACAAAGCTCTGAGAGCTCTTTTATCTCAGCGTCACGTGGGAGATAAAAACCTCTGTCTGTGCTGATGGAACCCCACACGAATTCCCCACGCTTTAGTGATCACTGGCACTGTCTTTAAAAGGTTACAACTTTACAGAAGATCCTTTTTGGTTGTGTGCCCTCCTCACTGACGGGCTGTGATTAGTGGGAGGGATGTCACGGTGCCCTCTGTGAAAATCCGTGATGGAAATAACACCAGAGAGAAAATTACACTCTATTTGTGCTCAAGCTTTTATTTTCGCCCGTGGTCACCTGCCAGTTCGGTTCAGATGGTTTTAGAAGTGCTTTTGAAATGTGATTTTTGTCTCATGATGAATAATAAATAAATAAAGGAGGTTTTCTGCCCTCACAGCCTTTACACCTCACAGTGTCTCCCCGGGGTCACAGACTGGCTCACAAAACCTGTTTTAAAGAAATGTAGAAGGTGGGGGGACGGAGCTTTTTGTGTATTTTAATAAAGGTTGTAGGCTATGACTCCTTGAAAACTTAAACCCTAAAATGAAAACCTAAAAACTCCTGGCAAACTTGTAGAAATTCCCTGGGAAAGGACACGGTGACACTGCAAGTGGGACACTGCAAATTCCCCCTTCTGAAGGGAAGGGATGGGGAGTTCATTTCTGGAAGTCAGGGCCTTTTGTTTGGCCACTTCTGCCTCTGTAAAATGGTCAGGACCAAATCTTTTTGTTCAACGCTTGATATTGAGATGGGACCAGATCAGAATTGGTGAAGTAAAACTTCTGAAAGAAGAGAACAGAAGACTAGGAAAAAAAACCCCCAAATAATTCAAACACTCTGATCATTTCAGCTTAGATCTTTAAAGATACTTATCTGCCTAATTTTCCTTGATTTCTATATAAATTAGAGACTTAATTATTTCTTACCTCAGATCCTCAGGTCTTACCTTATTACAAGGAAGCAAACTTTTGAAGTTTTTTTTTCTTAATAGACCCAAAAGGTCAGGAATACCAACTGCTCTGACATCAAAAATGTCCTTATTAATATTTGTTGAAATATTTAATACCATCAGGTAAATGGAGCTATAATGAGAGATGCATAAGAAGGACAGGAACTTCTTTCAAGTCTGGGTTTGGCTTTTTTTTTTTTTTGGGCAAAATTTAGACTGAAAAGAGAGACAGACTATCCAGAGAAGTCAGTCTTGCTTATTCATTACCTAAATTTACAGAGGAATTAATAAGCTAGATTGGCAGAGTAATTAGAAATGTGAGGATTAGGATTTCCTCTTGAATTAGGACTAAATGTCTAGGAAAAAACCCACACTTGAAGTCTTTCAACTCCAAAAAGAAGGCTTCAGATTTACAAGACTCAGTTTTGGGAGCACCTCATGCAGTAACTTTTCTAAGAGAACACAAAGAAATCCATGAGCCAGCAAATTCCACTCCATGTTCCTGGGAGAGCTGGAAGGGAGGTTTCTGTCTGTTAGAATTAAAGAGGCACCTCCAGGTGGGAAACTTATCTGGGACAGAGGCTACAAATTAGGCTTCTAACATTCCTCAGCTAAGACAAAGAAACAGGGAAGGTTGAAATGATGTTGTGCCTGCAATCAGGGATTGGGGTGGATGCATTTTTTGGGAGCTCTGTGTCCATAACACCCAGTAATGTCAATTTGTTTCAGAAACATTTGGGGAGCAAACTTTAATTTCTTGGTGTTAGAGGATCACTGAGCTGAGAGTGAGGGATCCCATGACCTTATATTTAATGGAAGAGTCAGGAAATCCCAAAAGAAATGTGGGATTTCTCAGGAGTTAAATTCTCAGCATCCTCTCAGCTAGAGGTGCTTCCTGTGGCTTGTCTTTGCATCGCTGTGAGATGATTTCCTTGTAAGACCTGAGTGTCCCTTGTCAATAACGAAACACCTGGATGGGTGTTTCCCAAATCAATCCCTTAAATTCACTAACAGAAAGATGAATGGCTGCAAATAAACAGTGATGGAAACAGCACTGGAACTGGGGAGGGGCAGCACAGAGTTGGGTCACAGACAAAACCAGAATATCCAAGGAATCAGAGGGTTTGTGGATGTTCCTGGACAGGTTTAAGTATTAAAGAGGTCTTTAAATAGGGTGGTACAAGATTAGTCGCTGTGACACAGATAATAAAGGCCAGAGATCCAAGAATGGTTTGGGTTGGAAAGAAACTTAAAGCCCATCCAGTTCCACCCCCTGCCATGGGCAGGGACACCTTCCACCAGCCCAGGGTGCTCCAACCTGGCCTTGGACACTTGCAGGGATGGGGCAGCCACAGCTTCTCTGGGCAACCTGCGCCAGGGCCTGCCCACCCTCTGATTAAACAATCTTTTCTTAACATCTAATCTAAACCTCTCCACAAATGGCCCTCCTGGAAATCCTAACACACACTAGATAATTTTGGTTTGCTGTGGATTTTTTGTTTGTTTGGGATATTTTTTTTTTGCTTGTTTGGATTTTGTTTTGTTTGTTTTTGGTTTTTTTTTTTTAAGATAAGTTTTCTCCAAGATGAAGCAGAGACACCGTGGGCTCATTCTGGGGAGGATTGTCCTTGGTCTGCCTTATCCATAATGTCTTTGTATTAGTAATGACTTGTAGCTTTCTATCCTGTTTCCTGAGGGAAAGTTTTCACAGCACCATCTTTGCTGTTCAGCTCACCTTTAATACTGAACTCAGGGAATATTTTATGCTTTCAGGTGTGTGGGACTTTGCTGGTTGTTTTGGTCAGACTGGACTTGGCTCCTCTGTCTCTCCTACTGGAATAACTCTACAACACACACATTTTGAAGGAGCCCAGCTGGGGTTTAGCCCTCAAGGAATTCTCCTTGAAAACCCAAGATTTATGCTCAGATCGTTAGATACCAGCAGAACAAGATAGCACAAAACCAGGGGATTTAAACAGCTCCTGGAATACTTGGCAAAATCCTTTAACTGTAAGAGTGACAGAGTTTAAAAATGGCTTTAAAGTTAATCCATGAGGAGAAAACTTCACTACAGAGGAGCAGGACTTGGCTGGTCTGGTGTAGAGCAAGGGAAGGACAAATTCTAATTGTGTTATTTGATGGAAGGTGCTTGGAAATGAACTGATGAGGCTTTTTGTGAAGTGCAGCAGCGGGAGGGGAGCGTGGTAAAGTCTGGGAGGATCCTCTAAATCCTGAAACTCTACCCAGGCACCTCTAATTCAATTATACCTGTCCCTCTGGGGAAAAGTTTAATTACATTACAAATTAATTTTACTTAAGGAACGGTTGGTAAAAGCCTCTGGGTCTGCATTGATTTATTTTTCCCTTGGTCTTTTCTTTTAACTTTTCTGTTTTGAATTGTTCTGATTAGCTTTCCCTGCTTGATATTCCACATCACTACAAGTGCTTTGGAAAAAGAGCTGTAAGGAGCTTCAGAGAGAGGCTTGGGATTTCTTTGGTCTGACTGAAAGGGCTGATGAGAAATCCTTTGAATTCTTGTGGTGTGATGGATAATAGGACATACTTTATGCCTTGTAATTATCCCCAGATTTGATCAGAGATTTTCCTTCTCTTGACTGGAAGGACTCCAGTGCCAACCAGGAATTCTCTCCTACTGCACATGGACACTGCTCACTGAAACAGGGACCTTTGGTTAAATAAGCTGAAGCTCCCTGCAAAACTAAATTTTCATGCAGCCACCCATGATTATCACCCAGAGTGTCTCTTTTCCAGTAAACACAATATTTGCAAACACTTTTTTAGCCATTATGGCCTGAGAATGCCTTCCCTTCCCATGCAAGGCTGAACCATTTCTTTGGGGCAATTAGGCCTTTTTTGATGCCTTTCATAGAGCAACTCTCTCCTTTTTTTTTCCTCCAACTAAAACTGCAGGGATCCTTAACTGGCTCCTAATTTATGGCTGTATAAAACCAAAATCCAGAGTGTCTCTTTTCTGATAAACACAATATTTGCAAATACTTTTTTAACCATCACTGGCCTGGGAACAAAACTTCGTGTTTGGGGCAGTTGAGCCTTTTTTGATGCTGTGGTTGCCTTTGAAGTAGGTGACCAGCTCCCTCTGGATATCAGTATGGAGAAATGGCAAGGAAAAGGCTTTCTGGAGCATATTTATTTGTGTCTGCTGAACATTTCACATCTGCTTGGTGAAAGAGGAGGGAGTTGTGCTTTGAGGTTCTCCTGGCTGGTTTAACATGTGAGGAGGGTGAGGAGAGGAAACCAAAGTGTCAGGCTCAGCACCTGCTTCTAATGACACTGGACTTGGAGATGGGGCAGAAATGGAATTAATCCCTGGGTGATGGACAAAAAAGAGCTGGGAACTGTCGAATTCAAACACGTGGGGTGATGGGATGCAATGTGTGCTGGCCTTTGCCAATAGCACCCATCTGAAACGAAATTAGTATTTCCATCAAACTTTTTCTCCTTAAATCACATCACAAAATGCTTCTGCTTAAGGCAGATTCGATTACACGTGGGGTCTGAATACCAGGAGGTCCAAACAACAAAATTGCATTTTCAATTACATAGGCAGGGCCATCTCAGGAGGAACTGTGTGTCTGATCCTTCTGCTGCAGCAGCTGATTCACTGAGTCAGTCCCTTCTGCCCGAGGAGTTCTCTGTGTCTGTATTTTCCTTGCCTTCATCCCTTCTCCTCACTGGGCTGTGATTTGTAGCATCTGGTGCCTGCTGGGATGCAGCTCCTGCTGCCAGTTCTGAGCTCTGATCCTGATGGATTCATCAGCTGTGAAACCACGAGCAGGGCTCTTTCAAGAGCAGCAGAAGGAAGATGCTTTTTTCAATGTTCTGAGTTTTAAATATTTCCCATTGTTTTTATTTCTTTTTTTTTTTTTTTAATATAATCAAATATTTCTTGGTTCTGTTTTGCTTAGAAAGGCCTTTTTCCAGTTCTTTTCTCCTGTGATAGTCTGGTTTTGCACGTGTGTTTTCAGGATGTGCCAGGCTGATGATGGAACACTGCACTTGCTGATACCTGGTTTTATTCAGCCTTCTGCTGGATGGGTGACTGAACATTAATCCTTGTTTCCTTTATCCTTTCGAAACGATGATAATTGTCTTGGCAAAGTGCACTGGGATATGTTGGTGAAAATTACAGTTAAAAAACACTTACAAAGATTTTTTTTTTTAATTGGAGGAATATGGGGTGTCCCTGGCATGTAACTCTGAGAGGTGAGTTTGCTGGACAGAGAAAAGGGTAAAAATGTCCTGCCAGACTGAGCTGGGACACAGGTGGAGGCTGAGCTTTGCTCTCTGTAGGATCTACAACCTCTCCCTGTGATTTTTTGTCAGCTAATTAAACACGGCCACCAACTTCAAAGCATTGGTTTGATACCAATCCTTGGGACAGGGAGACTTCCCATGGAAGTCATTCCCATGACACCATTTGGCTTGCTGAGCTCTGCTGAGTGTGAAACCAAAGTCCCTCTCCAGCTCTCCTGGAGCCCCTTTAGGCCCTGGAAGGGGCTCTCAGGTGTCCCTGGAGCCTTCTCTTCTCCAGGTGAACCCCCCCAGCACTCCCAGCTTGGCTCCAGAGGGTCTCCAGCCCTTGGAGCATCTCTGTGGCCATCTCTGGACTTGCTCCAACAGCTCCATATCCTCCTGATGTTGGCCCCCAGAGCTGGAGGCAGCTCTGCAGGAGGGGTCTCACCTGAGCAGAGAGATGGATATTTTGGATTGCCAGCATAACTATGGAAAATTCAGATCTCCTGCTTTGTCATCTTACTCCTCCAGTGTGAACACACTGCCCTTAGATTCTCCTTTAATGACATTGCTCCTGCTTTCAAGGAGAGGAGGTGGCACAGAACAATTTCTACTCTCCTGGTGTTTCCTCCCCTTGTGCAAATGTTGGCAGAAGTGTCCTTGCAGTCTCCTCACTAAGGTGTTAATAAAACCTTTCTCCTGTAATTAAAGCTTCCTGGATTTCAGTTCCCTTTACGCCCATGATATTCTAGGACTGTCTTTCATTTAAGATTTAACCCCCCCCATTTTTTTTTGGTTGCTAATTGAAGGTGTATTTTCCAAGCAATTCCATCTTGTCTTTATCATTCTTGGAACTGTAAAACTGAAATTCCAGGAAACTTTGCTGCTCCAACATCCCAGAGCCTCCTGTGCTGAACTAAGAGAGGTGATTGATCTCCACCCACCCTTTGAGGTTTGATTCTTTTCCTCATCTCTTCTCCAGAGAGAGAGCTTTGCCTTATTCTCTTGGCTTTGTTTTGGTAGTGGAGGTGTTTTTTGCCCTTTTTTTTTCGTTTGTTTTTAACATTTTATTCTTGCTGTTGCTAATTGGCCTCCAGATCCAAACTTAAAATGCCAAAGGTGGTATTTTCTGTAGCTTCTGTAGTCCTGAAAACATCAGCTAGAAACTGAAGTCTCCAGCCCTCTGTTTCATCACAGGTGATAAATTTTCCCATCAAAAGCTTCACAGCCTATTTGCCTGTGATATGTGAAGCCAAAGGAAACAGAGCTTGCTCTTCCACAGTTATAGGGCTATAAAGGCATAATAAAAATAAATGTGGTAACAGTAGACACAACACCTCTGAATATGAGCCCTCAGAGTCAGCAGTTCTGTTGGGTAGGGAGGTATTTTTATCAGCAGAGGATGTTACAGAAACTCAACACCCCACCCCCCAAAAGTGTCCATCTCTTGTGAGTACAGAAGGCCCAAACATACCACTGCAAAATGTGATCTGTGCAATTAGATTAGACCTTTAGAAACAGTAGATCCAGAGGTTTCCTTTGAAATTCCTTTATAAAAGCAATGAGAATATTATTTAATGCCATCCCACAGCACAGCTCACGTACACACAGAAATTACAGTGATGAACTCTCCTCTGGGTCTTGTTTGCCACTGCAGAGGGATTTTCTTCTGCCAGGAGTCGCTCTGGGTTGTGCAAAAATACCATTGTTCCCCACCTGAAGAGATCTCTGCCCACCAAGGTCTCATGGACTAATTTAACCTCTTTTTCCCCTTTTCCAGATTTTGCAGAGTTTGTTTTCCTGGGGCTGTTCCTTACTGAGATGTCTTTGAAGATGTATGGGCTGGGGCCAAGGAACTACTTCCACTCTTCCTTCAACTGCTTTGACTTTGGGGTGAGTAAGATGAATCACAGGATGGTTTGGGTTGGAAGGGACCTTAAAATCACCTCATTCCAACCCCCTGCCATGGGCAGGGACATCTTCCACCAGCCCAGGTTGCTCCAAGCCCCATCCAGCCTGGCCTTGGACACTTCCAGGGATGGGGCAGCCACAGCTTCTCTGGGCACCCTGTGCCAGGGCCTGCCCACCCTCACAGGGAAGAATTTCTTCCCTCTCTCTAATCTAAGCATGAAACCATTCCCCCTTGTCCTGGCACTCCACGTCCTTGAAAAAAGTCCCTGTGTGGCTCTCCTGTCATCCAGCAGGTTGGGTATTCAAGGGTGGGTGTGGCAATCCACGGGAAACGCTGCCGGGAGTGTTTCTCCTGCGGGGAGCAGTCGTTGTGTAAATTAACTGCGGTGAAACACATTAAGCTTCCCCTACTTATCATCCTTTTTGAAGCAAAGTGACAGCTGGGGATTTCATTTCCTCGGCAAACTCCGGGGTGTTCGAAGGCTCTGATTGCCGGGAGATTCTCCCTCCCATTTAAATGAGGTGATTGAAAGACAAAAAGAAAAAAACCCAACAAACTCCATCCCCACACATCTTCCTGCTCATCTCCTCTGTCATCCCTTTAATGGCCTTTACCTCAAGACACACAGGCAGCACTTTGCAGTGCCCAGAAGGAGAAGAGTAAACACATGATTTGTGTCAGGAAGGCAATAACTCACAGCCAGAAGTCCAGGCTCAAACTACAGCTCTGAAGTGTGAATAGCGGGGCTGCTTTTGGCTCCATCTAACAAAGAACATGGCACGAGGATGGTAATTTATTCATTAAAAGCTATTAGGCTGTAATCTGTCCTCACAGAGGATAACTTGGCTTCTCTTATCTGCAGCGTGGGCAGAGCAGGATTCGGGCTGGGAGGTTTCTGTAACAAAGCAGATACGAAGCTTTTGATACAGCCAGGGGCAAGGGGAGAATGGTTCAGGTCACTGTGCACGTCATCCAGCCCTCCTCTCTAAGATTCAGTCTGCTGGTTCTGGTCTTTGTCTGCCAAAACGCTGGGAGTGATTCCTCTCCCCCGCGGAGCAAAACTCCCACGAGGCAGGAGGGATTCTCACCTTCAGTAAGTAACCTCTCCTCAACCCAAGGCTACAAGTGGAGCCAGTTTAGTCTCTTCTTAAGGGCTGGAAAGCTCAGAGTCAACTGGCTTTGAGATGAGACCACAGCCCCAGGGGTTTCACGAGGCTGCCCCACGTGTGGGGGTCTCCTCAGGACATCGGGATGTGTAGGTGCCTCTCCCTGCCTGCCCAACCCAAGGGATAATGCTCAGACCCCAAACTTTCACCAGAGACACCAGAGCACAAAGAGTCCCTTAAGGGTGTCGCTGCCTCGTTTAAATTCCCAAGTTGCAGGCACTGGGTTGATGACTTTCACCGATGGATTAGGTGAGCTCCAAGCTGGCTGCAAGCTTCCTTGGATCCCTTGTATTCCAGGATGCTCCTTCCACAACAAGACCTTGCACCTGGCAGTCAGGGACAGGCGATTTAGTGGCTTGCACTCAGCCAAAGACAAACCCACCAGTGTCTCTTTGTGTCACACTGGGGCTTGTGCAGCACTGGCAGTGAGCTTTGTGAGTGTTTTCCCAGGAGGTTGAAGCTGTTGATCTGTTTCTAATTCTTCCTCTTTCGGAGAATCCACAGGGATCCTACTTCTGTCTGTGTTTGTTCCTCCTCACCCACCTTCCAGCCCCCAGGATTAATTCAGTGCCCTCACCCCCCCGGAACATCACACAGATCTGTAGCCAGTTTAGTCTGACAAACCATCAGGATGAAACCACTCAAATGTAAACAGTGAGAGGACAAATCAGAGCAACATCAGCCTTGGGAGTAACAGTCCAGAGGGGTCTCATGTGAAACAGGCTCCCAGGAGGCCCTGCTGGGATGCCAGGAAAATTAATTACCAGCCTAACATGTGGAAGGTCTAAGGGAAGGGGTTTTGCTGATTCACGAGGGATTCCCAAGAGTGAGAAGCTGTGGGAGAGAAGTTTTAGCTCCTTCTTTTTCAGATGGGAGAAAAGGGCTGAGCAGCTGCTGCCTCTCTGCATTTTCTCGAAGCTCAGGGTGCAGCGATTCTTTCAGGCATCACAGCCAGCCCTGGCTCCCCGTTAACATTCCCTCCCCCTGCCCAAACCAGCTGCTCGCTGCCTTCTGCTGAGCGTGTTTATGGTGTGTTTTGCCCCAAGTGGGGAGCAGGGGCAGCGGGAGCTCTGAAAGGCTGGGTTAATGTGAGCAATAACAGCAATTGGCAGTGAAAGGCCTGTTTTATCTTATTAACTGTGCAGCAACCTGGGTGGAGATAATTGCCCTTTTCCAGCTGTGCTTAACCCATTGCTGCTTTGTCCTTCTGGTAAGGAAGGATTTCTCAGAAGGTTTTTTTTTTCTTCCTCGATGCTTCAGGTTAATTCCCTGCCGTGCTTAAACCCACCAGCCCAAACAAAACAGAACTTAAAAAAAATCCACCTTGATTTTGGGACAACTTTTTTCAGTGCCCTGAGGCAGCCGATTGGATGTGTGTGCTGGAGGCTTTGCTGGCTCTCAGAACAGCAATTGCTTTAATTGCTCTCCTAAACTGCTCTCAGTTGCCAGAAGTTTCTGGTGGATCTCACCCAGAGCTTCACTGTTCTGCTGCAGGTGAAGATTTTTAGTCCTCCTGATGGGCAGGGAAGGATGGGGCAGTGCCCCTCTGGATCTCTGTACAGACCCCCTGGTTGGGGTGGGAAAACGAAGAGTTGGCATTTGCAGCTGAGTCAGTGTTAAAAAAATGCAATAATAAAGCAATGTCATTCAATAAAGGTTATTTTAAGGTAGTTTGATTGCTGGAGAAGAAAGCAACAAGTTTCCTAAGTGTTGCAAAGGAGCTCACAGTGTGTTCTGCTCCTGGGTATTGCCCTTTTTCAGTCTGGACTGCAGAAATTTGGGATAAGGGTTTCCAGTGCTCTTGGTTAATTTATGATTTTCCTGAAGTTTTCCTAAGAAAACCATCACAGCCTGAGCTCTGAGCCCTGGGCTTTCCTCAAAGAAATAAGCAGAAGTTTTGCCTTGTGTATATTAAAAAACAACCCTCTTCTTGCAGGTCATCGTGGGAAGTATATTTGAAGTTATTTGGGCTGCAGTGAAACCAGGAACATCATTTGGCATCAGTGTATTGAGGGCACTTCGACTGCTGAGGATTTTCAAAGTAACAAAGTAAGTCCAGCTCTCTTTTCACTCTCACAGCAGACTTTTAGCACCACGTGCAATCTGGATTACCAGCCCCACAGCAAGGAGGAGTGTGCTTTTTGTTTATATTTTTATGTATTTTTGTATATTTCTATTTATAAACAATAAAATAAAATAATTACCAGAAGCTGGAGGAAAAAAAACAACAAAGCAATGCCCCAAACCCCTGGTTTTGCTGGCACAAAAGCCCTGTCTGTCCTGACATCCCATTAGGAGGGTCCTGATGGAAACTGCAGATGCAGAATTGCCCATTTCCTAGGCTGGGCAGTGGGGGTTCCTGGCAGCTGGAAATTTGGGGAGTTCCTGAGCCTGTGTTTGCATCCACAAAGATTTTTAACAGCCCTTTTCCCCCCAGCCTCCTGTACAGGCTTTTCTGCCCTTGGGCAGAGGGTTCCACAGGGCTGCAGGAAAATACCCTTTTTTTTTTCCTTTGTTTCTAAGCTGGTTTAAAACAAAAATCTCATTCTGTTACCCCTTAGCTTTTGTGGTAAAAAAACCAAATTTCTCAATGAGTTTTTAAGTCCCATCAACTGCTCCCTGTCCTCATCTGCTGCTCCTGAAGTATTTGGGCACTGAAAAACCATTTACCCTGGATATTGCTGGCTGCTAAATCCTGGTGCCTGAGCCCCTGTGCTGACACAAATAAGCAGAGTTTTGCTGCTGCCTGTGCTGTGTCTGCTCTGGGCACGTCTGGGAGGCTGAGTTTTCCCTGGAGTTGTGTTGCCACAGCTTTTCCCGTTGTTTTCGTGCTCCTGCCTCACGTTAATGTGCTCTGGCATCAGCAAACAGCTCCTGTGCCATTTAGAAACCCATCTAGAGCCATTTCTGCAGGGTTTTGAGACTGTGCTGTGCAAATTGATGACATATTTAGGTGCTCCTGTTGTTGTTTTCCACCGTTGCCTCCTCAGCTCTCCCTTCTTTCCATCACCCTCTTAATATTCCTTGGCTTGAAGTAGCAGAAGGAGGAATAAGAACTGCCAAAAATACCCCTCATACACAACTGCCTTAAATAAATAAGGCCCAGGTGATGGCATTTGAACAGAACAATAATTGGAAGTCACCAGGTACTTTGGAAGCTGTTCAAAGGCCCAGGTTTTGTTGGCACTGGGGGGTTTGCTGATTTATATCTTCAGATCCCAGGTTTGTGGGTGATAGGGTGTCATCTGTTGTATTCTGGGAAAAAGGGGGTGGAAACAGGAAGTTCTGTGATTGTCTGGTAGAAGAGGTGGGTACCTGCACCAAAAATGTCCCTGCAGTTTACCTTTGTACTAATCTCATGCATGGAAAGCTCCTGGTTCTGTGGGAAATACAGAGCAATTTACCATCAGCGGATAATTTTATCCCAAGCTAACTGAGATTTACTGTGTCTGGCTGTGTGTTGTGCTTTTACAAAATTTTTGGTCATTTTTGGAAGTTAAAATCTTATTTTTTGTGGTGAGTTTTGACTGTTCCTTTTAGGCAGCAGGATGAAGGCATGAATCCCAAGAACTCTTTAGGTTGAAAAAGACCTTTAAGACCTTCAAGAGCCTCGAATTCAACCGTTCCCCCAGCACTGCCAAGGCCACCACTAACCCCTGTCCCCAAGGGCCACATCCACGTGGCTTTTAAGTCCCTGCAGGGATGGGGACTCCACCACTGCCCTGGGCAGCTGTGGCAGGGCTGGACAAGCCTTTCAGTGAAAAACTTTTCCCTGATAACCCTCCCAGCACAGTTTGAAGCTGTTTCCTCTCGTCCTGTTGCTCATTTCTTGGGAGAAGAGATTTAACTTCACAAACCAAGCCCAGGGCTCCCCCTTGCTCAGGACATTGTCACCCCCCTGATCCTGATGTTCCCTTGACCTGATCATGTGGAATTTTCACCTGACATGACAGGAATGTGCTCACTGCGTGATCAGCAGCCACATCCCTGCAGCTCCCACGGGATGATCCCGGTGTTTGATCCTCTCATGACTCACAAGAGCCACTGAAATGCTGTTACCAGGCACAGATTCTGCTCACACTCTCTCATTACAGTCTTTGCTGTGAGAACACCCTGACCCTCAGTAGTTTTCTGTCTCCTTTTTCCACCTCTTCTGCAGGAATTTGTCTCTGAAACTCTCTGCCCTGGTTTATTTTCCCCTCTGTGTTCAGCAGAAGCCAACTGCAGTCCCAGAATCACAGAATATTCTCATTTGGAAGGGACCCCCAAGGATCTCTTGGCCCCAAAAAGGCTTTGAACCTGACCTTGGTGTTCTCAGAACCAGGTTTTAATCAACAGAGCTAAACTCAGCCCTCCTGCTTTGAATAATCAGTGGGATGAGAGCTTTTGATTCCCACGATCCAAATCAGTGTGGCCATGGGCAGCAAGAGTTAAAAAGTGAAATTCCAGCCAGCCTGAAAGGTGCCAGCAGGATCCACCAGGAGGGGATACAGACTGAGAGGGGCTAAAATTCAACCAGGAGGATGAGGGCAAAACAGCTTCATGTGCTTGTCTTTGCCATGGCAGGGCTGAACAGGGACTGGCACCTGCAGAAATGCAGCTCCTTATGGAAGTCAGTTTTCTTGGAATGGGAGTGTAAGATCCTACTTCTCCTGGGATGGATGTGGCTGTTCCCCAGCCCAGAGGAACGTGAGGTGGTTCTTGTTCCTCCCAGCTACACCTGGGGGAAGGAAGAGGGGGGAAAACAAAGACAAAGGAAAGGGGGTGGTGACTCAAGCTCTGAGCTTCTCTCCCCATCAGCAGATCTGACAAATCCATGGGCTTCCTTCTGCTGGGGACCCACAGCCACACTGTAGGAATGAGCTCAGGCTGTGGATCCATCCCCAAACTGCAGCAGGAGGATGCTCAGGGCAGGGATTCAGCTCTGCAGAGCAGCTCCCAGCACCAGGCAGTGGAAATGAGAGAAGCCACTGGAGAAAAAGAGGGAAAAGTTCCCCCCCCACGGCCTCAGACTCCCAACTTGGAGCAGAGGACACATGAAATGGCTCTAAATCCCTCCTTTCCCGCTGCCTGTTCCGACCCCGTTGTTCCACAGGAACCTGGGTCCAAAAGGAGCTTGTCAAAGAGCTTCATAGTTCTTTCTTTCTGCATTTCCTGACTCATTAGTTTTCCTGATATAAACCTCCCTGCCTGTTCTCAGCAGGGCAGTGAAGCCAGGAAAGAGCCGTTTCCGAGCACCCTTCCCAGCTCACCATCCCTCGACGTTCCTGCCTGGGGATGTGCCAGGAGCTGTCTCGGAGCACAGGGGAGACAAAAACAAACCATCTGCAGTATTGTGGCTTGGATGTGTCAGTCAGGATTCAGGCTGAGCCATTCCCTCTTGCCACCTTGGGATTATCACCCTGGATTTGTTCTCCTCCTCCAAGGCTCTGTCCTGGACACCTGTGTGTGTGTGAAACTCCTACAGGAATGTTTAGAGATGTGGGAATTTAAATCCACTGGTTGATCCCGGTGTTGGATGGGTTGGAAGGACACACCACAAAGATGTCCTGGTGGGAATGATCTGTTTATTCCTGATTTGTGTGTTATGGAGAGCTGGATTCGCTGTTCCCATCTTCAGTGTCACCTTTTGACACCCCTGCTGATTCGGGGCATTTTAATTCTCATCTGGCTGCTGTGCTGGGTGAGAAGATGCCAAAAGGTCAAAATCTATCCCAGGAAAGGGGTTTCTGAGGAACTAATCCAAACATTCACCACACAGACTGCTCTGTGTGGGTGCACACACCCCCAGTGACCATCTCTGCCCTCGGGATGCTCCAACAGATGTTGCCACTCTGTGAGCTGTGTTTTCCAACAGTAGAAGGGAGTTTAAAGATGCTGATGTTCCTTGTCACTCTCCTCCTTTTTTATAATAAGAAAATCATAGAATCAGGTTGGAAAAGACCTTCAAGATCATCAAGTCTAGCTGTTGACCAGCACTGCCAAGGCCACCACTCTGCCTTGTCCCCAAGTGCCACATCCATAGGGCTTTAAATCCCTCCAGGGATGGGGACTCCACCATTACCCTGGGCAGCTCATTCCAGTGCCTGACCACCCTTTTGGTGAAGAAATGCTTCCTAACATCCAACCTAAACCTCCCCTGGGCCACTTGAGGCCATTTCCTTTTGTCCTGTCACTTGGCAGATAATTCATATTAATTTCTCACCAAAGGCTCTTCCCCCACTCAAGTTCTCTCTTGGCTGCTCTGATCTCCAACACAGGTACTGGAATTCCCTGAGGAATCTGGTGGTCTCCTTGCTGAACTCCATGAAGTCCATCATCAGTTTGCTTTTCCTGCTGTTCCTGTTCATCGTGGTGTTTGCTTTGCTGGGGATGCAGCTCTTTGGAGGACAGTAAGTCGAATTATTCATCCTGGGGCCGCAGGGCTGGAAGGGTCACATCCTGCTGCCCTCTCAGACTTCCTGGGCTGCTGAGAAATTTATAGGAAAATAATTCCTTTTCCAGCATTTCACTTGGAGCTGAACTCTTTCCTAAGAAAGAACAACCCTAATCCAAAGCCCCTTTGTCATCCCACAGTCCCCACATACACCCAGAATGAAACAGGCCTGGGGAAAGCATCACTTTTTATTAAGGGAAAGGCAAATTCTTTCTCTGATATCCAGGGTGACAATGTATTTATTCACTTGGAATATTTTTCTGCTGGAAAACATGGTTCTGTTGGATCTGATTATCCTCATTAGAAATGCCACTTGTGGTGAATTCTGCAGCACGAAATATCACAGTATTATCATTTCAATTCCAGCATCAATTCTGAAATGAAATAACACGGGTTTATTTGGTCTTTTATTTTTCTTTTTTTTTTTTCCCCCCTCAGTCAATTGCAATATTAAAAAGAAATTATCTGCTAAGAGAGTAATTTCAGTTTGGGCTTTTGCAGCGGAGGATGAGAACTCCTTGGAACGGTTTGTTCAGCAAAAATCGCTTGAGATTTGGATTGTTCATTTTAATTGTGGCTGCAAATGAATTTCGAAGCATCACAATTTTCTCTGGGAATGAGATTGAGTTCCTGCTGAATGGTTCTGTTGAGCATCCTCCGAGAGACACCGTGTTCTCCCCGCTGTGCTGGCCTGGGGTGTTGTCTCCAGGTGGAACAAATGCTGCTCCCTGACTTGGTTTATGGGGTGTTCCAGGGGATTGGGAGATGTCTGGGAGCTGCTTGGCCCTCACTGCTCTGCTTTTTATTGCTTCCTTCCCTCCAGGTTCAATTTCCAAGATGAAACTCCCACCACCAATTTCGACACCTTCCCCGCTGCCATCCTCACAGTATTCCAGGTAAAGCCACACCTTGGCCTGGGGGAGGGTTAGAAGAGAAATTCCTGGGCATCTCTTCTTGCTTATGGAAGGCAAAAAGGTCCTCAAAAATCTGTGCAACTTAGAGAAAAAGTCCTTCCTTTTCACATGTTTCGCTTCGCTGATCAATCAACCCATCATTTAAAAAAAATCAAATTAAAAATCAATGCTACGGAATGAAGGAAAACCAGAACAAAAGATTTTTTTGGCCAGGAAGAAAATAAAATTAAAAAAAAAAAATCGATAAACCAGATATTTCTGTGCTGTTCCCAAAGTCTGTGGGTGCCCAGGCTGTTGTCTCCCAGCCCTGGGATGGCAGCTGTGGCTCGTGGAATGTCCTGTCCACGATCCTGGAGCGAGCCAGTGGCTTGACCTGCTTCACTTGTGCCATAATTGAATGAGCAGAGAGAGAGGCCTGAGGGAGCTGCAGGCAGCAGGGAAATAAGGCAGCATTTTGCACAGTAATAACTGCAGAGAAGTTAATGCTGGGTGAGAATTGCCTTCCATGAGAGAGAGGCACCGGCCTGGGGCGGGTTGGGGAGATGGGAGGAGGAACTCGCAGCTCTGGGAGATGCTTGGGTTTAAAAGGCTAATTTTGAAGCTGTTTTCTTTGTATCTTTTTTTTTAAAACAATTAATTCAGGTGTCTCAGTAAAAGCTGGGGCTGCTGCTCCGTGTGCAGGTGACCCTCCCAGGTCTGTGGAACCCACCCAGCATTTATAACCTTGTCCCACACGAATTCTTGGCGTGGGCTCGAGCTGAGGCTTCACCTCTGATCCCAACTTTCACACAGCTCAGCAAGGCTTAACTTATGTATTTTGTATTTCAGTGCCATGGTCCAAAAAGGGCAAAAAACTGAGGGGACTGATGACAATTTTTTTATTATTTTTGATTAATACAGCAAAATTATTATTTTAATTATTATTATTAATTTTATATAACTTGATTCTTATTATAAGTATATACCACACACAGTGTATTAAATTTATATATATTATATAATATATAAAACATACATTATTAATAACCATTGCATTAATTATATAATATTATATGATAATGAAACAATAGCAATAATTTTATTTTGATATTATTTGATTAGTATAATGATAATTATATTAGCTTGCATAGAATTATATTGCTATATTAATAGTTATTATGTAATATACAATTATATACTATATATTATAAGAATATTTATTATATCAATTAGATATTATTATACTATAACAATAGCATTATTAATTATATAGTACATACAATAAATACAATAATATAATTTTAATAATAATAATTTAATTTTATCACTTGATTGTCATTATAATAATTATATACCACACACAATGTATTATATTAATAATGATTACATAATATATAATATACACAACATACATTATTAATAACCATTGCATTAATTATATATTATTATATAATAATGAAACAGTAGCAATAATTTCATTTTGATATTATTTGATTATTATAATGATAATTATATTAGGTTCCATATTGACATAGTTAGGGCAGGAGTTGGTGTCTGCACTGTGTGTCCTTGTGTCTGGACTCCCTCTCAGCCCTTTGCTGTCATCAGCACCAACCCTGCAGCAAGAAATTCCCTCTCCCAGCAGCTGAGGACCAGTCTGGAATGTGCAATCATTCCAAACCTGCTGTGTGCACATGGGGCTGGATCACAGCAACACACATCGTGCTCTGCCCTTTGCATTTCCCTTTCTTTGATCTCCTAAACACAAAGACAACTTCCTATTTAGGAGTTTGAGCATCAGGTCCCAGTGGGCTTGTTTGGATGTGCTAAAAGGAGCTATTTTTTGACTGTGCCAGGCAAGGGAAGGGCTGCTCTGCCCAAAATGTTGCTGTGTCTCAGTCAGTGCTGAGCAGGAACGGCAGGAATGTTACACTCAATGATGAGCAAGTGAGACTGGTGCAAAATTAGCATCAAGCATGGCAAAGCTTGCTTGAGACTGAGGTGTTTTCCTGTATTCTGATTAGTTTTCCTGTTATTCATGTGTTTGCTAATTAGCCCCAGGTCAGTGTTCAGCTCTGCAGGGCTGGGCTGTGGCTCCTCCTGCCCCTGCACAAGGACACAGGAGGAGCAGAGACCCCTCCAACCTTCCCTCATCTGTCCTCTCTCATGCAGTGGTTGGTGCATCTGCTTAGGAGGTTTTTTTTCTTGTGCTTTGTGGCCATTTGGGTCAAACTTGGGGAAAACTGGAGAAGAACCTGCAGTGTGCAAGTGGAGTGGTGTCCATCCTTGTGCCAGCTGAGCAGAGCTCTCTGCAGCCCTGCAGGAGCAGGGGAGGGGTGGAAGGGGTGACAAAGCTGCTCCTGTCACACGGTGGGAACAATGCGTGTGTGGGGTGGGGGAGCTGAACAAACCAAACCCTTCCTGTAGGAAGGGGATGAGAGGAGCTGGAGCTGACAGAGCTCCCACTCAGGGCATTAGAGCTCAGGGTTTTCTTAGGATTGTGGGAAGTGCCAGGAATGGAGCTGTTGAAACCTGGTGTCTCTGCATGACTTAAAAATGGGGAGGGAGGAGAAATTTTACTGGGAGTGATGTGTGGGAATGTGGCTTTTGCTGCCTCTGCCTTGGGCAGAGCTGGGCAGCAGGCATGGAACCCAGAGGGGCAGGATCATCCAGTCCAGCTCCTGGCCCTGTACAGACACCCCAACAATCCCACCCTGTCCCTCAGAGCGTTGTCCAAACCCTCCTGGAGCTCTGGCAGCCTTGGGGCTGTGCCCACTGCCCTGGGGAGCCTGTTCAGTGCCAACCACCCTCTGGGGGAAGAACCTTTCCCTGAGATCCAACCTGAGCCTGCCCTGACACAGCTCCAGCCATTCCCTGGGTCCTGTCACTGCTCACACAGAGCAGAGATCGGAGCTGCCCCTCATGAGGAGCTGCAGACCCCGGTGAGCTCTCCCCTCATTCTCCTCCTCTCCAGCTGAACACACCAAGTGCCCTCAGCCACTCCTTGTATGGCCCCTCCAGATCCTTCACCATCTTTGTGCCCCTCTTTTGGGCACTCTTAACAGCTTTAGATGTTTTTTGTGCTGTGGTGCCCCAACTGCCCCCAGCACTCGAGGTGAGGCTGCCCCAGCCCAGAGCAGAGCGGGACAATCCCCTCCTTCACCTGGCCGGCGATGCTGGGCCTGATGCCCCTCCATGTGTTTATCCATTTCCCTCAGGGAGCATTCCTGGATGGCATCACACTGCCTGGCTCCCCCTGACCTCTCTGTCCTTCCTTTGAGTCACCCCCTCTTCTTCTCTCTCCAATCCCTGCAGATCCTGACAGGGGAGGACTGGAATGCCGTGATGTACCACGGGATAGAGTCGCAGGGCGGGGTCCGCTCGGGGATGTTCTCCTCCATCTACTTCATCGTCCTGACGCTCTTTGGGAACTGTATCCTTCCACACGTGCCCTTCCTGGGCTGCTTCGTTTTTGTTTAAATTCTCACACTTTTACACTTTTTAAAACCAAATTATTGCTTTTCTCCTTCCAGCACCTTGGTTAAGACGTTGTAGGTGAAGTTGTCCAGGTTGGCGTCGATTTAATTTCATGAAATTTCGTTTTGATTGTTATGTTTTACCTTGAGGATGTCCTGTTGTGAGTTAATTTATGCCGTGTGAAAAATAACTGAAGTCGGGTCAGAGCAGGACCTCTGTACCTTGAACATCTTCACAGATGGTTTGTGGTTGGTCAAGGGAGGGAAGAGTTGAAATTGGTTTGGTGGGTAGATGAGGCTCCATTCTCTTGATGCCTTTTGTCTACAGGGCAGCTTAACCAGCTGTGCTGTTTCAAATGCTGGAAGTTATCCTGTCTCCACTTAGTGCTTAAAATTTAATTCTAGATCTTGGCTTTCAGGCTCTGGGAGCATTCGGTCGTGTTCCAGGACTTGGCACATGAAGTGTCTGGGTTTTTTCTGCTTAGAGGTGAAAATCTCTTGAGGGTAAGAAGAAACTGGGGGCTTGTGCCTCCCCCCAGAATATCCCAGGGTGTCTGTGGGGAACAAGCAGCACTTTGATGTCTGATATGTCCTGACAGGACTAAGGAGGCAAGACCAGGAGATGGGATTTGGGAAGGGAGGCTGTATTTTATACAGCAATGAGGCAATTCCCTGGTGTCCCATCTGGGTGTGACGAGGAGAAGCCAGAACAGAGGGGCTGTGGTGGCTCTGTCCCTGCTGATGGAATTGCTCTGTGGAATTGCTCCTATTAAGCAGGTACAGGATCCTTGGTGGGATGTTTGCTGCCTGCAGCCACAAGTTGGAGTCAAGCAGAGCAGCCTCAAAAATGGAACTTTAGAAACTGTTGCAGAGACAAAGCAGGCCAGCTGGTTTGTTTGTTCTGTAATAACTGAGCCTTGCTGCTCTGCTTGGGAGCTCTCTGGGGGCTTTCCCAGCAGGGAGAACCTTCTTGCTGGTTGCAATCCCAGAGTTCATCTTTTCCTGGTGTTCTTTGGGCTGGCTGGGTACCTGGGAGAGAGGGAGGGGTCGTGGGGGGCAATGCTTGGCTAAAGACACTGAGCTGTCACAAACAGGGGCTGCTTCAGCCCGAGGCTGAGGTGACAAGAGATGTCTCCAGCCCTTTCCTCTGCCTGAGATCCCCCCCATTAGCATGAGGAACAGCGGTGGGGAAGAGCAGAGCAGACAGACAGAGCTGTGCTTGTCACCCCAGCCCGTCCCTGCGGGATTTATCCCATTATCCAGCGCTGTCGGAGCCGCGGTGCCCGGCTGGCTGGGCAGCCACGCTCAGACATCCACCTCCCAGCCCCTTCCAGAAACACAGCCTTTGGAAAACTGGGTCAATGGAGAGCTGGGAGGGAGGGAGAGCTCTAAATCCTCCGGGCTTGGCATTTGAAAATGAGATTAAGCCGTAATCAGGCTTGACAGCACAGCTGAGAGAGAGCCTTTTCCCCTCAGAGCAGCTACGATCCAGCAGTTTCGAGGCACGGGGTATTAATTCCCTTCCTCACCTTTAATTCAGAGGGGGCTTCTCCCTTCTCCTTTAGTTTTCATTAAAAGGGAAAGAGCAGGAGGTGTTCAAGGGTGGGAATAAGGACCTGGCTCACCTGCTGCCACTGCCATGAGCTTGGTATTTGCCTTTGATGCTGTGACAGTGGGGAGGTGAAACCTTATCCACGTTCTCCTCAGAGCTCATCCTGGCTTTCCCCTCTGAGGTGATCCAGGAAGTTGCTTTCCTGGCTGTTTTCCTGAGACACCTCCAGTGCCTCTCCCCTCCTCTTTGCCCTCAGCCATGTGCTGGTAATTTCCATGTGCTTCTGTAATTTCTTGGAAGGCTCCTTCTACCAACTTCTGAGGTTTTCCAGCGTCTCTAAAGAGAAGCTGTCACTGCCCCACCCCTGGAAGTGTCCAAGGCCAGCTTGGAGAAGCCTGGTCTGGTGGGAGGTGTCTTTGCCCATGGCAGGGGGTGGAATGAGATGATCTTTAAGGTCCCTTCCAACCCAAACCGTTCTGGGATTCTGTGAGACTTCAAGTGATCAGAGCTATAAACCTAAGACAAACCTATTAATTTCTGTGGAGATTTAAATCCCTGTTGGAGAATTAGAGACCTGGCCCTTGTAGAAACTTAGTCTGGGAATATCAGCAGCTTCCCCAGAGAGTTTGTAAGAGCCTTTCTGCCCCACACAGACCTGTTGGCCTGGGAGCACCACGGGCAGGAGGGAAGAACTGGGAGTGGGGTGTGTGGTGAAGGCTGAGGGGTTAAACCTCTCCAGTGTGTGTTTTCCAACAGTGATTCCACTAAAGCCTGTGCTGATATTTCAAGCAGCATTTGGGGAAGGTCAGGTCTAACCCTGCTGTTCAGCAGCTTCGTCTGCGATGCTGAGAGCAAGCAGCAGGCACTCATTTATCCCCGAGGGGAGGCTGAACTCTGGGACTTACCAGCGACTCAAGTTATCATCAACTGTCAAAACACAACCAGGAACATCTGAAAATAAAGTTTAGTTTGCCAGGAAAGAACAGCCCTGCATTGCTGCAGGGGGTAAACCAATCATTAATGCAGTGATGCTGCAGAGTTAAGGACAGGTGAGTGAGAATGTGTCCCAACCTTGGGGTCACTCCCCAAGGAGACCCCACAGCCCATGAGAACACACTACAAAGAGCAGTCTGAGTTGTTGATCAGCTAAATCCTAGACTAGAAACACAGAATTATATGATATCCTGAGCTGGAAGGATCCTCAAAGATGATTAATTCACTTTAAATTAATTATTAGATTAGATTAGTGTGACTTCATTGTTCTAAATTGGGGCTTCATAAAGATCTGTCCACTCTGCCTTGCAGAACTCCCTCCAAAAAGCTTTAAAAATGTACCTTTTTTTTATGCAATGTGTCAAGTGTGGCTTTTCCATCCCTCCCCACACAACTGTGCTGAGACTGAATTTCTTAAGCAGGACTTTTACTGGTTCTTATTTTCTTGTATCACTACTGAAATCAGCCAAAGCCCTTCTGGAGGCTGATCAGCCTAAAGGCACTTTGGTTTCTCTGCTGGGAGGGGATTTATTTTCACTTTGTGAACTTTGCCACTTTTAAAGAGTTTGGGCAGAATGGATCAAATCTCATTAGAGAACTGGAACTGGTGATTTGGGGTCATCTTGCAAAACCTGCTCCTTTCAACCACGAGGGACTCTTTTCTCCTCCCAGAGCTGTTCAGGGCATCAGGATTGTTCTTTTCCCTGATGAAGAAAGGTGGGTTGGAGCTGATTTGTGCTGCTTCTCACTGCACCTTGATTCTTCCTTCGTATCCAATTCACTTTTTCAAGGGATCATCGCAAGGAAAAGATCCTGAAAGTTTGTTTTTCTGAGTCAGAAGTGGCTCACTTTATGTTTCCAGTTGCAGAGAGTCTGTGTGGAACCACAAAGGGTTTAATGGAAGTGGTGTCATTGGAGTAGCAGCAGGATTTGGCCCATTTGCTAGGAAATGACACCATGCCTGTATTCATTGCTGTCCAGTTAATTGATAGAGGGAGCCCCTGGTGGTCTAGGGGGTAAAGGCGCCGCGCTATCACCGCGGAGACCCGGGTTCGATTCCCGGTCAGGGCCACTCCCGGGCAGGTGGGGCTCGTTAGCCCTTAAAGGCAACCCACCTACGTCCTAAGGACCTCGCTGCCACCGTCCAAGCTCGCTTGGCCCCGGCAGATGAACCTTAGGATTAAAGGGTGGGCTCAGTTCCGCGCACACTGTGTCTCACCTAAAAAAAAAAAAATCCAATGCGCAGGCTGGAAGGTGGAAAGACCTTCCCTGGATCTTCGCTCGCGAAGACTGGCCATTATTTATTATTTATTAATTGATAAATGGAGGCATCTGTTGAGGGAAAAAAAAAACAAAACCAAACAAAAAACCAGGAAAAAAAACTGCAGAGGAGCCTGAGAAGAAAAGCAGGAACTGCCTGGAGGTGCTGCCCTTCAGCTGCTGGGCAGGAGATCTATCCTGGCCCAGGCTCTGAGTCAGAGCCTGGAGTTTGGGTGATATTTGGGAATCCCACAGCTCTTCAGAAAGGACTGAAGGACCTTTTTCTGGGGGCAGAAACACCCAAGTCTGCCAGACTATGTCTGCTTGGAAACGGATCAAACCAGCCTGATCTGATAAAACAAAACAAAAAAAATATTAATTATATTTCCAGTGGCTGCTTCTGCTACACGAGACACTCTGAGCATGTGTGTGTGGGAGGCAGGGGTAGGAAGACAGTTTTATTGCTGAGACATTTATTCCCGGAGTAGGAGGTTTGGAAGTGTTTCCAGCACGTTGGAAGCACCCCAGAGAAAGAAACCCAAACACCCAGCACAGACCAGCACCCCAGTGGTGCCTCAGCCCCCCTGTCTGCTACCTCTGTCCCTCCACCTGCAAACCAGCCCTCAGCTCAAAGGAAACGGGGGGATTTAATATCTTTGCAAGTGAAATGTTGAGTGAGTGTGGGAGGGGGCGATAATTCCAGCATCTTCTTTTCCTGGGCTCTCTGGGATCGAGGTGCTCCCACCCACACCACTCCCTGCCCTCCTGGAATGAGGGAAGGAGCAGTTGATGGGCTTCATGTTTCAAACCTCTGTCTGTCCCAGAGGATTTGTCTCCAGCTGGTAAAAACCTCCATCCCATATTACATGAGGTGGAGAAAAACCAATGGATGATGTGGTTCCTGGCTGGAGAAACCCCAGGGCTCTGCATCCCCTCCCCTGGGGGGTTTGGCAGTCAGGGAGGATGCAGATGCATCCTAAGAGATTAATACAACTCCTGTTTCCCACTGGCACAGGCTCCAGGTTTGATGGACATCAGGCTCTGGAGACACTCATCCCAGTGGGAATTAGAGATGGGAATGCCTGGGTCTGAAGTCTTGGCTGAATTAGGTTCGGTAAAAGCTCTTGAGAGGGGAAGCAAAGAGGCTTTGAGTTCACTGTTTGGGCCAGCTTTGGTCCCTGGCTGCCCTGGGAAGTCTCCTGGTGCCATGGCCATGTGGGACCAGAGCTCTGCAGCCAACAGTGCCCGAGCCAAGGTGGGGCCTGCTGGGACATGAGGGGTTCTGGGCACAGCCTTGTCCAAAGTCCTTCTCCAGCTGTCCTGGAGTCCCCTGCAAACACCTGGATTAGTTTCCTGGAATCCTTCCACGTGGGACCTGCAGCTGGTCCCAGCACCACGTGTGGCTCTGATGAGGACCTTGCAGTGCAAACAGAGGCAGCACTTGGCTGCTAAAGCCTTTTGGATCTCCAGAGGGTTCATACTCCTGAGATCAACTCCATTCTCATGTCCATTCCTATTAGGAAATGAGGAGCAAACACAACTTTCCACAGCTCTGGAGTGAGTGACTCTCCTGTCACCAGGTATGTGTAAGAGCAAAATGCCTTTTCTCCTTGGGAGAGTCATTTCAACTTGGTTCTGCTTTGCTTGCCCTCCTCTCCCAGGCAAAGTTTCCTGATTTACGGTTGTTTTGGGGCTGTTCTGCAGACACAGAGCTGGAATGAATACAATAAAACAACCCGTGGCTGAAATCCTTAGGTGGGAAAAATGAAAATACAACATGAATAAATAATCAGAGGCCCATGTTATGTCTCAGTGATCTAATGCAGGGCTGTGCAGAGGGACCAGCCAGGCGTGGGCACTGCCCTTGTTTAGCTGGGCTTGCTGCAATTTGGGCTGCACTAAGAGCCTGTTTCCCAGCAGAGCTCATTACCTGGGAATGGGTGTCCTGCTCCCAGGCTCTCCTGGAGCTGGGGCTGCAGCACTGGGGGTGGAGGATGGCCAGGATGCTCCCATTGTCCTGTGGACTTCAGCAGGACAAGCCAGGGTGGTTTTTTTCCCCAGCACTGTAATCCAGCAGCGACTGAGCTTCATTTTCTCTGCCACCCAACACCTTTGTGTAGCTCTGGGTATTTATTCTGCAAATATTGGCTTTAAAATGACCCATTTCATGCAGCTCCACTGGTTGTCCTTTCAAACAAGATGTGTGTGGGGGAATGAAGGGGTGTGTGGGCAGGAGTAGAGGAGGGGGAGGGTCCAGAGGGGAAAACTGGGAGCTGTGGTGTCCCTAGGGGTTGTAAAGCCCCCCTGCTCAGCCCCTGTGTGTGTCCCCACCAGGGACAGGTGCTGGGGAGGAGATGAATGGACATCCAGCCCCTCCTGGGCTGCAGAGCTCCAGGCAGAGGGGGTGGCTGAGGAATGCAGGGGGTCAATCCATAATACATAATCCATAAGTGGGGAAAGCAGGGTGGTGGCAGCAGAGGGGAACATTTTGCTGTACCTGCTGGGTGAGGAGTTTTTCCTTATCTGCCCCCCCCAAAAAGACACCCTCCTGAACGTCTTCTTGGCCATCGCTGTGGACAACCTGGCCAATGCCCAGGAGCTGACCAAGGTACGTGCCAGATTCCTCTTTCTTCCAACTCAAAGGGCAGCTGATGACCCAAAATTACACCCTGCCAGGCTCCCTGAGCCTGCTCCTGCCATACCCCTGTTTACCAGTGTTCCCAGCAGAGCAGGACCCAGAGTTTTATTCTCCTTGGGGTTTTGTTTCGTTCCAGGTTCATTGCAGTGAATATTTTCTGCCCTTTCCTTTGTTTTAGCATAGAGTGGGCAGTGGGCATTGCTCATCTCACTGCTGTGGGGAGGTGCTCAGGCACTTTTGCTGTTTTCAAGAGCAGAGGAGAAGCAATTCCCAGGTTTGAATGAGCCAAGGCAGGTGTTGTGTTGCTGCCTTTGCCGTCTCGCACTTGTTGTTTCTTCCCTCGCTGAGGTTTGGGGTGGATTAAGGAACTAAAATTTTCCAGTCAGCCCCCTGGAGCTTGCAGAGGGTGTTTGGAACAGCCAGTGAAGGTGTTAAACCTTCCTGCCCCTCACCAGGGGAAGAGAAACCTGAGGCACCAACCTGAGCACAGGTCCTGGCAAGAGATGGCAATGACACCAATGTAGCTTTAGTGTATGCAGGATTTTGTGTGTGTATATATATACATATATATATATTTAGATTTATATTGGAGTATCCCTGTGGAGAAGATTTATATTGGAGCATTCCCCATGGGGAAAAACTGACAGCCTCAGTATTGCACAAGAAGGATTTCAAGTGTGCTGCCCTTGATATTTGTATTATTATGTACTTTGGGTTTCTCATTGTACCACACTCACATGTGTTTATGAGCAGCATGAGGGGATTTTTTTCCATGTTTTGCAGATTTCCAGTTTTTTCTCACAGAGCCCGACCCCCACCCCGGCTCCCCCTCCTGTCAGGGGGTTGCAGAGAGTGAGAAGGTCCCCCCTGAGCCTCCTTCTGTCCAGGCTGAGCCCCCCCAGCTCCCTCAGCTGCTCCTCCCAGCACTTGTGCTCCAGACCCTTCCCCAGCCTCGTTGCCCTTCTCTGGACATGGATTAGTGGTGGTCCTGGCAGTGCTGGCTTAACCTGATGATCCTGGAGTGTTTTCCAACCTCAGTGGTTCTATGGATACACCTGCACCTCCACAGCTTGGGGACACACAGATTTCTGGGAGTTTCCCACCCCCCAAGTCAAAATCCACCTCCCTGTTGAGGCTGAGCTTGTCTTTCCCAGCTTGTCTTTCCCTCTGTGGAGCTGCAGGAGTGGCTCCAGCTCCCAGTTTTGCCTGGAGTGTTTCCTGACATCCAATATCCAGCCCAGACTGTACTCTCAGGTGTCAGATAAATATTCCTGTGTCTCAGGCCATGCTCCTCATCCCTCCTCTCTCCCAGTCAGCTCAGGGCTGCATCTGATGGCTCTTTGTTTTATCTTTTTTTTCTGGGAATTTTTTCCCTTTCAGCAGCTCAGCTATTTCTATTCTTTCTAACACTCCCAGAAATCTCCAGCTTGGAGGCACAAATCCTGCCAGATTTATGGGAATCCCTTGCATGTGCTAAGAGAGAGGATCAGGCCCAGCACAATTCTTGGATAACGAAGCTCATCCCTGCTTCTTTCTTAATCCTTTAAGTGCTTTCTTGTGAATATTTCAGCAGCTGACAGGGACACTTAGAAACCTGACTTTGTTGATGTTTATAAAGTATAATTAAATATTGATGGATTCAGCAGCATGGCTAAAGCATAAAGCTTCTTGAGAAACTCTCTCCTTTTTTTTTTTCTTAATTTTATTTATGATCCAAAAAAAAAAAAAAGAAGAAAAAAAAATCACCAGAGCTTGTAAAAGAAGAGGAAAAAGATAAAAGTAATTCAGTTATGCACATACCTGGAGAATGAGGGATTTCCTGCTAAGTAAATGTGATCATGCAAAACCAAAAATGGCCCAGAGATACAACTGAGTTACTTGGGAGTCTGTTGATCTGATTTCTTGACATTTATGCTGTAAATACAGTGCTGCACATAATGTGGGAAAAGCAGGAGCAGTTGGCAACTGCCTCTGTTTGGGGAAGACACAAAGCTTTGCAGCCTCAGGACAGAAACATTTCAACCACTTTTGGATGATAATTTGGATTTATTTAGCATGGCATTTTGGCCCTTTCTTACCTGGGCCTTGTGACCTGTAGAGGAGTTCTCAGAACTGAACTATATTTAACTTATCTTGGTCATCCAGTGCGTGTTACAAAACTCACCAGTGCTCAGGAATGACTCACAGAAACGAGGGGATGGAAAAGAATCACCTTTGTTTTCAATCTATAAAGAAGCTGCTCTGCAGCCTCTGCCTCTCCCTCCCCAGCTCTCTCATCTCCTCTTCCTGTGCTGCCCTTCCCTTCCCACTGACTCAAACTCTGCCAACCTGATTTCTAGTGAGTTCTGGGAACTCTTCTAAATCCCTCTGGGTTCTCTGACCCTCTGGTTTTTTCCCAAATATTGGCAGGTTTTCCTCCCTGTTCACTCGCTCAGGTGGAATCTACAATTGCCCCCCGAATTTGCTTTTAAAATCTTCTCTCCCCTGAGCATCCCACCTTGGCCCTGATGGGCTTTATCTCAATCCAGGAATTTTGTCACCTGTACTCATGGGTTGAGATAAATTCATGGACTGAGATAAAGCAGATCCTTCATCCTCATTAAACTTGAGTGTAAAGCCACCTCAACTGACCCTTTATTTTCCTAAATATCTTTAAAGCACAAAGTGGGTGTTTTTTTTAATCTCAGTGATCCCTGAGAAACCAGGATAAAATCATGGAATGGGGGGTAGGAGGGATGTGTGAATTAGACATTAAAAGGTATGAAAGGGTTGAGAAATTCCCAGAAATAACAGCCTGAAGCAGCCAAACCAAGAGTTGAACATCCCTGAATCCCCCTCCTCCTCCCCCCCCCCAGTGGTGAGGGCTTTAATTGGAGAATTTATTAAAGACCAGTCAGTGTTAATGATCTATATCATTATGATTAGCTCAAAAAATGGGGTTTACCATGTGATAAACTGATTTTAATTAAGATTTAGGGCTCTAGGAAACAGAAAGGAATCATAAAAGAGGGATGTCCTTACAGGGAGGGCCTTTCTATGCACTTTCTGTGTGATGAGGGTGACCAGGCTGGGCTGGTGGTGGAGGTGGCATGGATGGATGGATGGATGGATGTTGCCATCAGAGCTCCAGTGAGACCTCTCAGGTCAAGGATCAGGCAAAAAATTAATTAATTTTTTGAGTGAGCTGCAATTTCTCTATGGGAGGAGCTACAGAAATATTATTAAATACCCTGCTAAATAAATATTACTATTTAAAATATTACAAATATTATTATAATAAAATAATATTATTAAATATCTGCTGAAGAGTGGGCTCATTCTGAGTTAGGGATGGCTGAATTTTTTGCTGTTCCTTCAAGATGTGGCATCCAGCACAATTACTGAGGCACCAGGGGGGACAGAGCAGAAGCTACACATTTTTAAAGCCATTTTAAAAACTGCACCTGCTGCTTTTGGTGCAGAGAAAGACAAATCAAGAGCCTTTGATTTTGAGGCTGTCGGAGATTCCTCGAGAGAGGAAACAACTTGAACATACCTGGGGGTGAAAGGAAATCCTCAAAAGCCTTTTAATTGGGGCTTTATTCATTAACAAATCTTATATCCTGCAGGTTTGTGATGGGTTAGGATGGGGCAGAGTTCATTTTTTTCCCAGTAGCTGATGGCTGGGATTTGGATTTGGGCTGGGAACAGTGCCTGACCCAGGGATGTTTTATTGGTGCTGAGCAGCATTTACAGAACCCAGGGGAGGAGTTTGGGGGTGCACAAGGATTTGGGGGAGGACAAAACTGATCCCAACTGACCCATGGAATGTTCCAGAACATGTGGCTTCACGCTCAGCATGCAAAGCTGGGGGAGAAGGAGGACAGGAGGGATATTTGGAGTGATGGAGTTTGTCTTTCCCAGTCGCTGTTGCATGTGCTGGAGCCCTGATGTCCTGGGCAGGGCTGAGGGATGTGATCACAGGGCTGCCTGTGATGAGAAATGGGATTTAATGCCTTTCTTTGCTTGTCTTCACGGCTTTTACTTTCCCTATTAAACTGTCTTGATGTCAACCCCTGAATTTCATTACTTACACTCCTCTGGCTTCCTCCCCTGTGCCCCCAGGGTGGGTGTGAGTGAGCAGCTGCTGGCCAGGGTTAAACCATGAAACCCTCTGGATCTCCAACAAGCCTCCAAACCACTGATAAATTTACTGCAATTTGGCAGCTGAGAAATATTGACTTTGTGTAATTGCTCAGCAGGTCATTTTTTGATGGCCTGGCTCACGTCCTCCACTCACTACAGTAAGAACTGCCTGGTTATATTTGCTAACATTTGAAAAAGGGGAAAAAAAAAACCAAAACAAAAGTAAAAACTTATATGGTAAAATTTTTCCCCCTTAATTTTCCATCTTTTCTGTTTTACTTCTAAAGGAGGAACCGGTTTCCAAATGAGCTCAGTTTAAACAACACCAAAGTTGGAGCAAGGAGCTGTTTATGCTGATGGAATTCAGGGGGGATAAACCTCTGATTTCCTGTTTCAAAGCTGGATGTCTTGCTGCCTGCTCTTGTTATTTGAAGATTAGCTCCCCACAGCATTGCTGTTGAAGGGCAGAGAGAGAAAGAGAGACCTGTGGCCTTTCATAAAGTTTGACAGAAGAGCCTGTGACATGTGGTTATTCCCTGGGTGTGTGTGATGCTGATGTTGCCATCAGAGCTCCTGTGCTCACCCTGACATGATTTTACTATTAATTTGGCTGGCTGGAAAGTCTCAGGGATGTTTCCCCTGCAGGATCACTGAAGATGAACAAGGCACTTTGTTGTTTTTGGGGTTTTTTTCCCTCATCTCATTGTTTAAGATCCTGTGGTTTGAATCTGAGTGGTGCTTCTCGTGTTGTTACACTGGGCAGGAGGAAATAAATCCCAATTACACTCTGCAGGCACTTGCTGTGCCAACAGAGCTTTAAAATCCTCATGGTGTGCAGAAATAATGGACATAACCCTCTTTTTGCTCTATGCCTGAGTCTACAGACCATATTTAATATTGTTCCTTTTTTGTTTTCACCCTCTGAGTCCTCAGTGATTCATCTGAGATGAGTGGAAATATCTGGGGGGAAACTGCTGGGAGCAGGACCAGTCAAATCCATTTGGGTTTTATTGGATTTATTCCCTCAGAAAAGCCACACTGGCAAGAAGTCAGGGAGGGTGTAGGAGCCTCTCTCATGCATTTCAGCAGGACATCCCTTTCAGGGTGGTTTTACACACACAGATCTGAGATAACTGGGGCTCAGTGCACCCCAGAAATGTCCCACTCGTGGTCAGGGCTCTCCCCAGTCTCCTTACCCAGTGCTCAGGGGTGAGAGGAGACCCCAGAGAGGCACCAAAGCTTTGGGAGGGACACCTGCTCCTGGTAAAAATCGGCCAAACCTCAAATTCCTCCTCTCAGCTTGCACCAAGACCCTACCTGGGGCTCCTTGCAGGAAGAGGTGAAACCCTGCCCTGTGCTGATGAGCTCCCAGTGCTCTCCCAGCACAGCAGTGACCGTCACACACGAGCTCTGGGGGTTGCTGTGGTTGTGTGCTCTGATTTCTCTTGATTTCCCCCCCACCCCCAGGATGAGGAGGAGATGGAGGAAGCCACCAACCAGAAGCTGGCCCTGCAGAAGGCCAAGGAAGTGGCCGAAGTGAGCCCCATGTCTGCAGCCAACATTTCCATAGCAGCGTAAGCATTCCTTGGTTTTTTGGGGACCTCGAGCCACGTGGGTTCTGTTTCTCAGTGTCACTGTGTGTCTGTTCAACTGCAGCATCCCATGGTACTCTGTGAGCCCTTCCAGACCATCTCTGTTCCTGGCAGGGCTTTAGGTTGACTGAATATTCAGTGCTGATCACTTAACTATGAATTTAATTAAGGATTTCTTTCATTTGGTGGTTTTTTTTTTGGTAATGCCTCATCTTTTGTATTGCTCTAAATAACTCTATTTCAGAAGGATCTCTCTTTTTTTAAGCTGTCCTAGGATAGATTTCACCAGGTGAAGTGCTAACATGTCACTTTGGATTTTTAATGACCAGAGGAATATGAGCATGGAATGCATTAACTCTTCTTTAACAATCTCTGAGAATTTAAATGTAAAAGCCTCCTCTTAAATATCAGCCTGAAAAATATGCTGGAATGCTCTTCCTTTGCTGTTTGAAAGAGTTTCTGAGGTGAATAAAATCGTGTGTGTGAACAGTCACTGCTCTGCAGACAGAAACAACAATTTGCATTTTACAGATGAAGCATCTGCCCAAGTTCTGGGATACCAGAATCCCTGGAAAACATTGCTTTCCATAGATCCTGCTCTAACTGAAGACATGATCTGTAGGTGGAATCCAGGTGTTGGTGAGGTCAGTTCTGCCTGTGTTTGAGATGTGCCAACCTGGAAATGTCCAAGGCCAGGTTGGACGGGGCTTGGAGCACCCTGGGCTAGTGGAAGGTGTCCCTGCCCATGGCAGGGGGTGGCACTGGATGAGATTTAAGTTCCCTCCCAACCCAAACCATCCTGGGATTCTATTCTATGATACCTTGCAAGGATTTACTGACAAAATAGGTTCTTCTTAAAAAGTTCATTGAACTCTTCTGGAATTTTAACATCAGGACAACCGGCCCCAAAATGTTTTACTTTTACTTTTTACTGAGAGCTGCTGATGTTTTCCAGATCCCTTTTTTACAGGGGAGACCTCCAAGGGCTGAGGAAGCTCAGGAGTTAAAATAGAAATTTCCTGTTCAATTTTATTGCAAAATCTCTGGAATGCAGCCGGATCCCTCCTCATTCTTTCAGTGCATAGCTCTTGAGACCCTCGTTTTTGGGAGTTTAATCCACTTCATCAAAGACAATGGGCCAAATGGAGCCAGCTTGTTACATGTGAAGGGAAAGAAGATTATTAATTTGGCTATTTTATTCTTCTTGCCATTTTATTTTTGCCGTTTCTGCTTTAATCAGCTCCTCTTCATGCTGTGTCTGTTTGTTGGTTTTAAATATAATCCTTTCCTTGTAATGGTTTCCTGTCCAGTCTTGAAGAGAAGCCAAATGAGGACAGTTGCTCTTGTTCTTTGATTAATTTCTTGGTACTTGTTATTTTAGATCTTGCTCTTGTTATCCTTGTTATTTTAAAATGTGAGATGATGGTGAATATTTCGTTCTTCTTTAATCCAAAGCATAGTGAAGGTGAAGATTTCTTAGAATTCAGCAGAAAAAAACAACCCACTTTAATGGAGTGAAGGTCTCACTCACACCACGTTTTTAAATTGCTTAAAATCACTTGATTCCAGGATTTTTTCACCTGGTTTTCAGTACCACAGGGCCAGCTTTGGGACAGCAATTCCAAGTGAAGGCAAAAATGTGGATTTCTGCTCATTTTGCTTCCAATTGAATCTTCCCAGATCCCACATTTGTGGGAACACTCAAGGAGCACAGCTGGAACGTCAAACATTTCCACCCCCCTGGGTGGGGCCACCATCCAACAACCATCCTGGGATTCCTCCTGGGCTCTGCTGTAGGACCAGGGAGATGTTCCCAGGGCCTGTCTCAAACCTCACAGGGCTTTAATTTGGACCAAAAAAAAATGGCATTAAGGGCAATAGGGCGATGCCCAAATGGATGATGACGTAGAGGAAAAGGCAAGGGAGAAGTTTTGTGAGACAGAAAGAAGTGCATGGATGGATTGCTGGCTCTTGATCCATAAGATATTTAATGAATCCATGTCAAAGCAATTTATTTTATACATAAATTCACCCACTGTGCACTCCAAAGGGGCTCAGCAGTGGCAGCTTTCAGGTTTGAAGCACCTTTCCCTTGGGTATCTCTGTCCAGCAGTGACACAAATTACCTCATCACTTCACTTTCTATGCTCTTAAACTGCACAGAGATCCTGCAGATGGAGCAGATTCCGTGTCCACGGCAAGTCTTGGTGGATCAGATCCAGAGCTGGACGTGCCAAGAGTGAAAAAGTGCTTGAAAATGGGATTTTCGGTGTCTGGAAATATCACCACAAAAGCAGAGCCTGGGCACAAAGAAATGAGAAACAAGCCACCTGTAGAACTAAATGGGTGGTGAACAAGGGCTGGAAAAAATGGGATTGAGCTCCCAAAGGCCTCCTGCCAAGGTGGTTCCACCCAATCAGTTCGTATTTTTATTTTCTCACGAGGAATCATTTTTTAGTTCTACAGTTTAATTTCCAGAATTCATGTGACAATTAATTTCCACGGCAGGCATGTATAGCATGGATGGATGTTCTGAAAAAAAAAAAAAAGAAAAATCAATATTTTCTCTACCTGCATGAGTCAAACTGGTGTTAGCAGAGGGCACCGTGACTTGCATTCCCTCAGTCACGACGTTCATGTTCCTGGTGTGCTCGTCCACCTCCCACAGAGGTGACAAAGCTGTCCCTGGGCTGAGCCTGGGGAAGAGTCCTGCTGGCTGGTGTGCTGTTTCACTGCTGAGGTGCTGTGCTTGCTGTTTTATTCCCTTCCCTTGTCAGTCCTGCATCAAGGACTGAGTGTGTGGATCTCCTCCGAAGCTCCTTCCAGGTCTTTCCACCCTCTGGGGTGACCCTGAGATCAGCTCAGTGCTTATAATTACACCGAGGTCGTGGGTTTGATCCCAGTTTAAGAGCCGGACTCCCTGTTGGTCCTTCTGACTCAGAATATCCTGTGATTCTCTGCCTGCTCTCCCACCTCTGTTTTTCCCGTGCCTGCAGTTCACCTGCACCAGTTACAGAGTCACAGAATCAACCAGGTTGGAAAAGACCTCCGAGACCATCGAGTCCAACCTGTCACCCAGCCCCCCCTTGTCACCCAGGCCATGGCACTGATGCCACATCCAGGCTCTGCTCAAACCCCTCCAGGCACGGGGACTCCACCCCCTCCCTGGGCAGCCCATTCCAATGGCTGAGCCCTCTCTCTGCAAAGAACTTCTTCCCAATGGCCAACCCAAACCTCCCCTGGGGCAGCTCAAGGCTGGGCCCTCTGCTCTCCTCTGCCATTCCAGCCTCCTTTCATAACTAAGCCCCCCCAAAAAAAAAAAATTTTAAAAAAATCCTCAATTTATTGCCTTGGCTGCAAAATATCATCTCCTAAGCATAAAAACCTGGTTGCTTATTTAGTGTGTCAGCTTGGAGGGTCTGAAGAGGCACCTTCACCTTCACACGTGGAATGGGCTGCTGTGTGAGCCACGAACTGGTTTGTGACTGTGACTGATGGATGTCCTGGGGATCTCTTTTAATAACATGCTCATCACTGCAGTGGTGTGGAGGCATCATCTGTCTTGCCTCTGCCTCCCAGTGCTCCCTGACAACATTCTGCACTTGTTTGTAGCTCCTGCTTCATCCATCTCCCAGGATTTCTGAGGTTTGCCTCCTGCTCCACCCCAGGGTGACAGATTTGCCTGACCACGGTTTGTCTCTTCACCTGGTGAACTCTATCCCCAAAGGGGGCCCTTTTAATTTTGTGGCTTTCCAGGTTTAAAAGCTCAAGGTGGTGCGTTGCTTTTGCCATTGCTGCAATGTTGCCTTGAAAAATGCGTGTTTAATTTGAGCCCATTGTTTCATTCTTATTTTTGTGATTATTTTTTTCCCCCTGTGTGTGTTTGTTTTCTGTTTAGCATTTTCCTTGCTTTGTTGTTTCTGGAGGTGAGTTTTTCTGGGGTCGTTCAGTTTGCCCAGCGTTGTGTTGGAGACCCTTCTGTGTCCTACAACACTGAGACCACTCAGCCTCTGGATTTGAGCCACTTGTGCAGACCAAGGGGTCTTTAGAGCAAACCATTGGTGCAGCTCCTTGGTGGCCAGAATGGAGGAGGAGGGGAAAAGGGGCTGATTAGAAGGCAAACAATCTTTGTGGGGCCACCATAAAGGTGCCAGCAGAAGGAAGAGCCCCCAGGCTCGCAAAGACCCCGATGCAAACCTCTCTTTTATTCCCTGTTTTTTTGCTCAACCTGATGCCTTAATTCCCTGTGTTTGGGTTCCTCCTCCACCTTTTCTATCCCAGCCAGAGATGCACCAATGGCATGTACAAAAGGGGCTGAGATGAGCACACCTGGCCCAGTCAGAGCAGCCAGAGGGACATGAGCTGTGGCACCTCTGGCACCCATGGATTTTCCAGTGGCCTCTCTTCACCTTTTCTTGGGAAAAGTCCTAATATAGCAATTTTTTAGCAATCCTAAATTTGCAGGAGGCTGTAGGTAGTTGTGTGAGGTCACACTGAGCGAAACCTTTTGCGTTCTGTGACTTTGGTTTGGGTTTGTTTTGGTTTTTTTTAATTCCATGTGGTAATAGGTGACAGCTGTAGCCAGACCCAAGGAAATTATTCAATCACAGGTATGGAGGGGTGAGTTTTGGATGGCAGGAGAACTTCCCAGATGTGGTGGATGAAATGTGGTGGACAGTGACAGAGACCTCATGGATGTGGGCACCAAACCTAAACTCTGTGGAATCACCCACTGCCACTTTTCTGAGTTACTTGTGCTTCCCAGGACAACCTTCCAGCCTCCAAAGGCCTCTTCATCTCCAGGCTCTGACTGGTTTCTGCTGGTCCCTCACAGGGTTGCTCAGAGCAGCTGACACTTCAATTGCAGCCCCACAGGTGGGCACTGCCTGTCAATGGCAGCGAGTTAGAAAAGCCAGGAGAGAAGCTCCAAGAGCAAAGAGAGGTGGCCCAACCCTCCACTGCGACTTCTCAGAGCCACCTGTCCCTTTTGTACAGGTCTGGGGTGGGAGGGGAGGGAGGGGGGATCGCTCTGTTTCTCCAGGACATTTTCCATCTCAGAGGCTCCATGTTTTTCCCTCTGTCTTGGGAACACTGTGGTCTGTTCCCACACCTCTGTTGGGCTCTGGGTGCCCAACAGGACCCAGCAAGGAGCGTGTGTGAACACCCAGCCCGTGACCCTGCTGTGCTGGGGGATGTGTAGACTAGAAGAGGTGTTCTTTTTCTCTTGCTGGCTTGTGATTTCTCCCCTTTCTTCCCCCCACCTTCCCCCTTGGAGTGTGTTGGTGTGTGAGGTCCTGTGATTCCTCCTGTTAGATTACCTTTTTATCCTTGCTGGTGGTGTGCCAGTGACTCAGCTCCACCCAAAGACACCCTCTGTGCCCTGTCCCTCGTGGATGGTAAGTAGCATCGAGTGGAACTCAAGTACTCTGCTCTGGAGAAGGAGGTGGCTTTGCTTCGTGGTTTCACACCCTGGACTTACAGCACAAATTCACTCCAATTTCTGGTTTCAAAGAAGCAGCAGTGGGAGCAGAGGAGAGAACCTGGAGGGCTGCAGCACTTGTGTAACATCAGCTGGCCAGGTGATGAGGAGACTTTGGCAGGAGGAGAGCGTGGCCTCCGTCCTGCACTCGCACCAACCACGGCTGGGGTGAACCCCACAGGTGATCCCAGCCTCCTGCTGAGGGATGTGGAGATCTGCTCTCAGCAATCCAACCCAAATTTGCCAGGGGTGTTGCACAAGACTTGCTGCTGACTTCAGGTAAATTAGGGCAGCCCGGTACATTCTCCTCCATCCGCATTTTTTTCCACCTGTTTTGCCAGAGAAATTTCTTGGTTATTCTCGAGGCCCTTTGTGCTTGTTCTCTGCAGGGTTTCCCTGACATCCTTGGGGTTCAGCCTCCAGCCAAGGAGTAAAAAGGTCCCCAGCTTGAGCAACCTGGAAACAATCATTTTCTTGGCAAGCAAGCAGGGCATGCCAACCCCACTCTGACTCCTATTTCATTTGGCACAATAAAAATGTAGAAATACCGAAGCTTAGGTGGAATATTTTAACCTGTTTCAGCACATTATTTGCTTCAAGCAAAACTTTTATGATGCCTTTCATAATTTCTCCTATATTCATTCCAGGTTTCTGAACTTCTGGCTTTTGTGTTATATAGATACTATCCAGGCCAACATTTCTGTTTAGAATAATCCATTAATTGTAATAAGTGTATATTTAAAACTCTGCTTATATGATATCCAAAGGACATTAGATTTTAATTGGCCTTCTGGTTTGCTGGTATTGATTGTTAACAGATTAAAACTCTCATGGAAGCAGGAGGAAAAATGCTGCAGCTAAAAAGGCAAACCCAGGAGGTGAAGGGATTTTATTTTCAGTCTTGGGGACAGTTCTCTGAATGATGAAGATTGATAAAAATTATCATTTATAACTACAAAAAAATTAATGCCTCGTTCAAGATCTATCCTGGTTTCGTGTAGATTCCCTGCCAGAGGCAGAATAAACTCTTCTTCTGTGTAATTCAGTGATTTCCATATTTAGAACCCCCCGCATTTGTGGTGTTTATAGAAACAGTGGATGGAGGAGAATCTACAAAATTACTTGTAAACTGAAAGAACACAGACACAGTGACCCATATCTGGCCAGTCTGAGCTCAGGCACATCCCTGTCCCTGGCCCAGGAGAGAGGTAGGTGCCTCTGAAGAGCAAATCTGAGGCAGGGACTGAGGAGAAGCTTCCTGCTGGAGCTCAGGTGGATTTTGGAGCTGGGATGTGGCCCAGGGTCCTCCCCCCAGCCCATGTTCTCTGTGTTAAGCTTCCTCCTGGTGCTCCAAACTCACAGCAGGAATTAGCACCCTGTTCCCTCTTGAAAAGAACTCTTTGCAGCACAGCTGTAAAAGCAATGCCCACCTGGTCCCACAAAGGGCTCTCCCTGAGGTCCTGGAGATGATTCCACGGAGGACTCCCACGCCGTGAGTATGGCACACGGAGGCACCACGTGCTGACACCATCCTGTGGCTTTTGGTTCACCTTTTAATTTCTTCCCCCCCCACACACCCCTTTGGTTCCGTTTTTGGTTGTCTCCCCCCAACCAGAAGGTGGTGTGTCTGTGGCTCCCACACTCTGTGAAGCTTGCCTGGTGTCCTCCCGAGGTGCACGTCCACACCCGACAGGACACAGCCCGTGCGAGTCTCTTCCCCGATGTCTCTTATGGTTTCTCTGCTCTTTCTTCTTCTTCTTCTTTTTCTTTGTGGTGTTGTTTGTTTTTTTTTTTTCCTTTTTCTCCTTTTTTCTTTTCTCACTTTTTGTTTTCTTTGTTTGTTTTGTTTTTGCATGTGCAGTTTTGTAAAGCAAACTCGAGGTACTGTATCTCGCAGCTCGTCAGTCTCCAGCGTAAATTCACCGTGAGTTGCTCTCTGTTACAATATTCAGTAAATGGATTCTTTATCATTTCTACCTCTGTATTTATAAACCACCCTCTTTCCCTTTCTCTTGGTGCCTTCAGTCCCCTCCCCTCCCCCCGTGTTTTTTTCCAAGAATCATCCCCATCATTGTGGAAAACCTCCAGGCCAACATCCAGTGGAAGGACTGGAACATTGTCATATGATGCTTGTGATTTGATCGTGAGCAACTCTGTAGTGTTTCACCCATTGACTGTGACTCTTCCTCCCCTTCTTTCCTTCATTTTTCTCCCAATCTCCTTGATTATTTCCATCATTCCTTCCTTAGCTCTTTCCCCCTCTCTTTTCCCATCTGCCCCCATTTGATGGTTTGTCTCGTTCTCACTTGTATTTTTGTTCTCTGTGTTTATTGTGCACTGGGCTGATGGCTTTGATGTTCCACCAGTGTTTGCACCTCTGGTTCAATGGGAGAGCAAAAATGCACTCTTTGAGTGCAAGTTGGAGGAGGACTTCAAAAGAAACTCCTGGAAACGGGGTCCGAGTGAGACTAAATTGGAAAACTCTGCATAGACATCCTTGGGAAACTGGTTGTGAACTCTGACCTTCTCAAGATGGAAATTAAAGCTACAGATTTTATAAAAATGAGGCACTTGGCAACTCCTATGGACCTGAGGTTGAGCAAACACAGTGGAAAACCTTCCATTCACTCCACGTGCTTCCTAACAAACAAATCTTGCTGGCTTTGCTGTGAATCAGGGGGCGCTTTGACAGCGATGCAGGTTTGTAGAAAATACCATTATTCTCATCTGACAAATACAACAAAACTCCTCAAGAGCTTCTCATCAGCCCACGGGAGTGTCTCTGCTTTGGGTTATCTCTTACCATGTGATGTTGTCTTTCTTCTTTAATGCTTTTGGAGAGACAAGTAAGTGCAATTCAAACACGTGTGGGGTTTGGACCCCAGCGGGGACCAAGGTACAGTGAAACAAAGGAGCTTTCCCACCAGCTTTCCTGACATCTTCCTTTTTTCCTGGGTGTTCTGGGGGTGTTTGTATTAAAAATACGTGTGAGTTTGGCTTCTGTGACCAAGACTGAGCTTTTGTGACGAACAAAAAGTGGCTTTGACACGTCTGGGCTGAGGTCTGATGTCTCACAGGGCTGGGACAGTGAAAATGAGGGGATTAAACCAGACCAAGGCAGGTTTTGACTCATTTCTTCCAGTGCATTTCCTGGCTGCTGGGAATCTGGACAGGCAGAAAGGTGCAGAGAGAGGTGTCCTTCCCTTTGGAAAAGGGAAGGAAATTTCCCCTTGTCTCCCAGCCTGGTAGGAGGAGGGGGAATGTTTAAAGGTGGTGATGGAGGGGAGGTGCTGCCGACCTGCCCTCTCCCCAACGCTCCGATTTGCTCCAGTAGAAGTTGCACCAAACCAGTCTGAGCCAACATTATCCCAATTAGGAATAAAGAACAAAAAAACTTGGCCCCTTTTCCAAACTTCCAGAGGCAGAGCTGCCTTTTATAAAGGGATGAGATCAAACTGCAGGCACTAAAAATCCCCTTGCAAGGAGGCTTTGCCCCCATTATGAGGCACTGAGGTTGTTCCCAACTTCCCCCCCAGCCACAGAGACAGGGATAATAGAGGCTGCTTTTGCTGATATGACTCACATCTGTTCTCTGAAGGGAATCAATTTGTACTGCAAAGAGCTGTCACTGAGGTTTCTCATCCTCTTTGCCATTTCTATGCACCGTCTGGGCCGTAATTTGTAATTTCCTATGCAAACCAGGGCTGCTTTTGATGGAGGAGCTGAGCGGGCATTTTTTTATTCAGTGAGGCAAAAAAAGAGCATTTTCCCAGCAAACCCCCTTGTTTGGATGAAATAAATACCTGAACCCCACCAGAGTGTGCAATGGATTAAGTAGCAGAGATCACAGGGCATCAGCAGAGCCTCCCATGCAGCGTGGAGGCAGCTGAAGGATTATTTACTCACTGGAAATGCCATGGTTAGAAATGGGGGGGGGTGTTAATTGAAATCCAAATAGATAAACTGGAGCAACCCCTCCCAGGGCCAGGCAGGTGCTGTGGATTCCCACTCCCTGGGTGAAGGTTGGGACAGGTTCAGGATGCTTTTTACATCCCTCTGGTTCTACCCACTTTGCTGTAATTACACTGAGCAGATATAAATGCTCTTAATTTCTGGGCGCAGATGGAAGCTGAACAGTAATCTGCTAATCAAAAAGAGCTTTTAAAAGGTGCAAAAAAATTCCCTCTTCCTTTGCTTAAACAGTATAAAATGCCCTGTGCCTTTAATATCACTAAGAACCAGGATTTGCAAAGCCACGCTCATCTGTTACAAAAGAACAAAGCTTATTCCAAAACCTTTTGAGTTGGCTTTTACCCATGTTATTTCTTTGATTATTTAAAAAAAAAAAAAATTCTAAATTGGTAAGAAATTACAGACAAAATCCCTGAGCTAGTTTCTTAAAAAAACCCAATAAATTAAACCTAAGGTGAGTCATTTTCTTGTGCTAATTCCAGCCTTTCGTGCTACACCAAATTTGTGATGCAGGCAAGGCAAGAAGTACAAAATACATTTTTCATTCACTGAGGAGAGGTCATTAAATAGAGATATGCTCCATTTCTTTAAGTAGATCAGCATTTATCTAAAATACATACTGGCAGCTAATTTAAATGTACATAGGCAATGACACACAGCCAAGGGTCGGATTCTTCCAATGGTGTGGAATTTTGGAGTTGTGGGGTGTTGAATTTTCATGTGAATCCTAACATTGCAATGGGTGATGAAACCCCTGCTGGTGCATTCAGTCACCTCAGGTTTTCTTTGTGTTGCTGTTGTTGATTGTTCACTTCTAACAAGATCCCGAGGTGTCAGACAGGACAAATTCCATGTTCTCAAGGCAATTTCTAGGATGGTAAATGAAGGGAAAGCCAGTGTCTCACAAGGGGGGGATTCTTTTTTTCCCAAAAGTGCCAAACCTGCCAATTTTTCTTCCAGAATAAAACTTAAGTTTCCTTTCCCACCACAAAGTTCCTGCTTTGCCACCCCAACCACCACAGCACATCCCTGCTGCACCATCCCAGCTGTGGACAGGCTGATCTCACACAGAGGGAAATGAAAACCCTTAAATATCCTCTCCCAGGGTGAATTTGTCATTTGCCAGCCGAGAACTCAAATTATTCTTGATCTTTATCTCGTGTTTTTGTGTATTCACTGTCTGGGCTTTATTTCCATCCTCATAGTGCCAAAAAAAAAAGGGGGGCTATGGCTTCATTCCCTGGTGTGTTTTGTCTTGGTTTTTATCAAAAGCCTGGAGTTTGTGGTGGGACTTTGCTCTGGGATATTGAAGTGTCATGGGCAGAATGGAGAGTGGGGCTTCAACATTTGAGAGGAAAGAAATAATTTAAAGTAAATATAATTTTACTGGGGTTTATGAGAACTTAATGGCTCCACATATTTAACCTCAGTGTGCTTTTTTGTTAAATCAAGCCATAGCAATGTGGCTTTTAACTTTGCTTTTTTTTCCTTTTTTTTTGATTTTGCTTTTAACTCTCTCACCCTGTTATTTATTACTGAGCCTGAAATTATGGGATCACAAATCATAAGTGAAATACCAGACAAATCTCGAGGGCTGAAGAGGGATCTTGTGTCTGAGCACAGCAACATAACTCGAGACAGGAGAACTATTTTCTGGCATTTTCTTCAGATTTATATGGCATGTCCTTCTACTGAAAACAATTAGAAAATGCTTATTTTTAAAGCAACAGGGAGCAGGGTGGGGGGTGGTGAGTTGTGCCTGAGTGAAATCATTATGCTGTGAAAAACTCAAAGCAGAAAGCAGTGAAATTTTGGCTCCTTTAGCACCAGGAAGCTTCAGCTTGGCTGGGCTTTGCATCCCTTCAGAGCTGCCCAAAACCAAGGGGCTCAGCTGTGGCCAAACCCCAAAGCAGCAGCAGCAGCAGCAGCAGCAGCAGCAGCAGTAGATCATTATTTTAATGCTTGTAGGAAATTGGGGCCACAGGCACCTCAGGGGAGTGGCAGCAAAGTGTGGGATCTCTCCTGGATTTTGTTTTGGATACGTTGGAAACTGCCCTGGGCAGATCCCACCTGGAGTTCTGTGTCCAGATCTGGGGCCTCCAACACAGGAAGGGTATGGACCTGCTGGAGCCAGTCCAGAGGAAGCCACGGAGATGCTCCAAGGGCTGGAGACCCTTTGGAGCCAGGCTGGGAGAGCTGGGGGCGTTCACCTGGAGAAGAGAAGGCTCCAGGGAGACCTGAGAGCCCCTTGCAGAGTCTAAAGGGGCTCCAGGAGAGCTGGAGAGGGACTTGGGACAAGGGATGGAGGGACAGGACACAGGGAATGGCTTCCAACTGCCAGAGGGCAGGGTTAGATGGAATGTTGGGAAGGAATCCTTCCCTGTGAGGGTGGGCAGGCCCTGGCACAGGTTGCCCAGAGAAGCTGTGGCTGCCCCATCCCTGGAAGTGTCCAAGGCCAGGTTGGACAGGGCTTGGAGCACCCTGGGCTGGTGGAAGGTGTCCCTGCCCGTGGCAGGGGGTGGAACCAGATGATTTTAAGGTCCCTTCCAACCCAACCCAGTCTGTGACTCCATGAACTTTCAGGCTCTACATTGGCCACATGAGCTCAGCTGCTCCCCAAAGCCCCCCCTGAGATGCTCAGCTCTGTCTCTCTCAGACATCTCAGCTTCCTCCTCCTGCTGAGACCAATTACCTGTGGCTCAGCACATCTGCAGTTCTCCAAATAGTCTAAAAGAACAGGAAAAGTGAGTAGAAATAATAGAATAATGATAATATTGGGGGGGGGGGAATCAAAACGTGGCATTTAGTGAACTTTGTTGATGAAAAAATTGGCATCTGTGACAGCCTGAAAGGCATTTCAAATTCCAGTGGTGAGGTTCTGAAGGTAAGGGTGTGATTTACAGGCAGTATGGGCTCTGATCAAATTAATAGTTTAGAGTTTTTAGCTAATGG